CCTTATATTAATCTGCCACAAAATATGATGGTAAAAGAAAGATTAGTGCCCATTTGGAAAATATGCAGGAACAACCATATGCGGATACCTCAAATGAATGTATGGATGACATTGATGCTTTTTTGGGGAAAAAGACTGTACAAAATGCTTGTTCCGTTAAAAATTTTTTTTATTCAAATGATGATCCATGAATATTTTTAATACTTATATTAATTTTAAAAAAATATTTATTGAATATAATACACCTTTGCCATCAAGCGCTCCTGTGGAGCGCTTGTTTAGTAAAGCTAAACATGTTCTAAATGAAAGACGCGGATGTTTAAATGATGATAATTTAGAAATAATTTTATTATTAAAAGCTAATTTTAATTTTAAATAAATATATTATAATTGTTATATTTATTATTCTTACAATAAATTTCTACCATAATTAATTTATTTTTATATTAGTTAATTTTGCATCGGTTATATTATATTATTATTCAATTACAATAAATTTATAACATATATTAGTTAATTTTGCATCGGTCAGAAATTTCCTTCAGAAATTTAAATAGAAAAAAAAGTCGATCCTGGATTTCGATCCTCTTTTTTTGAAAAGATCGTGATCGTGATTCGATCGTTTTAAAAAGATCGGTTAACAAGCCTGTATATATCATACCACTATGTTATAAACAATACTATATATTACCAGAAGCTGTGCACGTCGGACGCGTATTATCACTAATTCTTGATACCTAATATGCTCTGCAGTAATTGCAATATTGATGCCTATAAATATAAATGTCCCAAGTGCTCAATAAAATTATGTTCAGTATTTTGCTCCAATTTGCACAAAACACTTACATGCGAAAATAATATCGAAAACTCAAAAAGTATAAAATCTATATTAAATCTTGAAGATGGGGAAATAATGAGTGATGAAGAATCTGAAGAAAATATTCAATTCCTTCAAAAATTAAAAAATTCTGCAGAGTTAATGGAAATTATTCAAAATCCAAATGTAATTAAATGGATTAAAGCAGTCAATGCAAATTCTAATAAATTAGACGAAGCTTTAAATTTTGTAGATTTTGAGAAGTTTGCTGATGAATGCCATAAAATATTTCCATGATAATTTAGTTGGCAATTGGATAACATTAAGTATATTATTATATAATGATTTTTATTTAATGTTTAGCATAATTTGTATGAGTAAGGAATTAAGTTTTATTCATCCCCTTTCATTTTATTCCAGTTCTAATTTAACATTTTATCAATTACCATCAACAATGATATTGAAAATTTATTCTAAATAATATCTTTTATTGTTTATTATATATAAAAGTCTAATACCTAAGAACAGCTTTGATTTTTTTTTTACTGGGGCCAACATCACTTGACTATACCTACCCTTCATACCAAAAATAAATTATCAATTTTTTAAACACCAATTATTGTGTTTATAATGAAATTTTACCATAAATTTTAATTTATGCATTTCAAATAGTAAAATCGATGACTTAAAAAAACATACTAATAAATATATGTGCCTTTCAACAGTTTACTTGAGCATTCTAGCCTATTCTTTGGCCTAAAATCGGTTTAAATAGAAACAAATATATATATATCTCCTTCTATTTTTACAACATAGTTATGTATAATTTTTTGTATATGATTTATTTCAGGGTTAATTTTATTTTGCTTCATTTTTAGTTATATGTATATTTTTTACCCATGAAAAATACTCTTTCACTTGTCATCTTTTATGCAAGATAATTTCAAACAATTAACAATAACCTGGGTATAAAGTACTGATCTTTGCTTACCAATTTAAAATATCAGTTTATAATGGTGCAACTGGCTCTTTATGAGATCTGAAAATTCACTAGCATATTTTATTAAATTACAATGTAAATATTTTCAGATACCACAACCATTGGGACATAAATTTTATTAATTGCAACAATGTATAAATTTTTTAAAAGAGGTGTCTAAAACCCATTTATAAAAAATATTATAGCAGCATCTGTGTTGTTAAATGGTCAATTTATCTGATTTTTAAAAATAGATAAAGCAAAATTTTTAGAATATTATTCCTAGGCCCCAAAATTTTGTCAATATATATCCAGGCATATCTGTCATTTTGAACAAAATCCAAGATTGGGTAATTTGCCTTTGGTTAAAATCTTGAGTTAAATGTTTTTTTGATGAAATCTAGCTATATGAGTATATTTATTAAAAAGCTTGTTAGCAAAGATTAATCTTATGCAAAAATTTGTAATATACCATTTAAATTTTATATATTTATAGTCTATTTTTTAAGAGATGCCAATGAATTTTCAGACCTCATGAGATATGCCTTTGTAAAATAAATGCCTTTGAATTTAAAACTATTTGTACACTAGGGGTTATGGAATAAAATGTTATAATTTTCTGATTTGTAAATAAACCATAAAGAAATATAAAAAGAGAGGACCAAACTGTTTGAACTAATGGTTTTTGAGAATGGTTATGGAATAAAATGTTATAATTTTCTGATTTGTAAATAAACAATAAAGAAATATAAAAAGAGAGGACCAAACTGTTTGAACTAATGGTTTTTGAGAATAATTAATTTTAAATTATTGACTAAATTTGTAATTTTAATTTTCCTTGGAAGCAATTCAAATTCATGATTTCATTTAAAATTATATTTTTTTATAGAATTAAAATGTACTTATCTTCATATCAATCAATCAATACCAAGTTTATTGTTTTTCCTTTATAATTTCAATTTAAATTAGGCAAATTACTAATTAATTAGATACGAAATAAACTTTTATCACACAAAATTATGGCTAAATTAACAAGTGTATTCTTATAAAATTTCATTATATTTATGTGTTATTTTATTCCTCATTTAATTTAGGCATGTTTGTTGTTATCTTATTCATTTATGAAATAAAAATAATGAATTTATCTAATAAATTTACTAAATAGTAAAAAATATTTATTAGATTATCATGCTTAAATTTAATTGAGAATTATAAAAATATAAGTTAAAAAGATTTTTCTCTAAGATTTATATATATAATGGTTTATGATAAATTTAAAAAAAAATCAAATTTATAAAAATCGGAATGAACCAAAAAAACCGCTATAAAACCGAATTGAACCGATATAAATTTTTCTAAAATAATGAAATGGAGCAAATGCAAATTTTTGGAACTGAACCGTTATAACGATTTGAAACCTTGCTAATATATTTTGTGGCCAAGGAAGATATAATAACTCCACATTATCATTAATCGTCAGAATACCATGTGAAATATGTTTTTGCAGCAGAATCTACATAACAGGATTTTCACTGCCCCTCAAAAACCTATGCTTACTCTACTATAATTGCCTACTTAAATTATTTTAGCTCTACTAATTGTTAAAATTGTGAATATAAATAAGTTATTATTTTAGAGGCCTGCATTGGGCGGGGTTTCGGCCCGCCCGTCCATCTAAGTGGGCAGGCGGGTGGGCGGGTGAAAAATTTTTCAAAAGTGGACAGGCGGGTTAAAAAATTTTTGAAACTATGAACGAGCTGAGCGGGTGGGTTAAAAAAATTTGAAACTATGGGCGGGCTGGGCGGGCGAATTAAGGAAATTTAAATTTTTTTTCAAAAACAAACTAAAAAAAATAATTGTTTGAATGAACTATAATAACAATATTTCTTTTTTTATTGTACCAATCGTTTTTTTTAAGTGGAGAACATTTACCTAACTATATTATGTAATAAACACAACAATAAAACTTTTTTCTTAGAATAAATAAACATTTTTGACTTTTAAAAATTTCCTTTTATGGGAATGTAATAAAACTTTTCTCTTAAAATTTCCTTTTTTTTGGGTTTGCAATCTGCATTGTATTATTTTATTTTATTTTATTATATATAATATATAAATTTTATTTTTTATAACATAATTTTTAATAAAAAAATATATTTTAATTTAATTTTTATTTTAAAATTTTATTATGAATAAAGAAAATATAACTAAAAAAATATAAATTAAAAGAAAATTCAGATAATAATAAACTAAAATCTTCAATGTGGAAACAATTTAAAATCATTTTCGATAAAAATGACAAAAAGCTAGATTGGATTCGCTGCAATGATTGCGAATCTATCTATAAATATAATAACAAAAGTGACACATCCTTCTTCCTTCGTCATCAATGTTCTTCTGCAAATTGTGAAGATTTGATAGATAATAAAAAAATATCCGGATATTTTCAAAAAGACAATTCTCAATTAAACAAAACGATAAAATCGGGTCTAATCGCCAATTTTGTAGAATATTGCGCTAGATATTAGTTATTTTAATTTTTATTAAATTATTCTTTTATCTTTATTTAAGCCATTCAAGGACCAGGATTTGTAAATATTTTACAAAGAATTTTAGACTTAGGGGCCACATATGGAAAATTGGAAGCCGAAAAAATTATTCCTTGCCCCACAACCGTTAGCAGGCACATATCCAAAGTTACTGAAAATCTTAAGAAAATATTATTTCCTAAAATTGGAGAAATGATAAAAAATTTTATTTGCTCATGTTCTACAGATATGTGATGCGAGGATTTTACAAAAACCGATTATATATCTTTATCAATGCATTATATACAAAATTGGAAATTAGAAAAAAAAATTCTTTTTATTTCAAAATTTCCAGAGGAAAAAAAGACGGGAGAAAATATTCTTAAAGAATTATTAAAAAATTTTTTAAAACTTGGTGTGCCCCGAGAATACTTTTCCAACCTCATCTTTGTCACCGACCAAGGAGCAAATATTAAAAAAGCACTGGAAAGGTAAATTTTTTGTTAAATTTTATAGAATTTATCTAATTGGTAGATATTATAATAATTTATGAGAGATTCTGTTCTGTATACACCTAAATAAAAACATTTATATTTAGAGAACTATATTTTCCGTTTATTTTTTAATAATTAGATTTAATAGACTAAACTGTTCAGCACATATGTTAAACACAATTCTCCGCAATGCTTTCCAGCCAACTTTTATTTTGGAAAATACTCCTGAGATTAATAACATTTTGATCACTGCAAAATCGTTGACCACTTATTTCAAACAACGTGGCAACATAAAATATCTGAGCAAGACGTTACAACAAAATATTGATATAAGATGGAAAACAAAACATAAGATGCTACAAAGCATTTATATAATGTATGATGAGATTTTATCTTACAACCTCGTGATATGAGTGAAAAAATGGGATCTATGGGAAAGGAAGGTTTAAAAACGCTGATAGATTATTTGGAGCCATATAAAGATGCAACTATTGTTCTTGAGAGCGACTGCAGGCCTACACTACAGAATGTTCTTATATGGTATAAAAATTAGTATTTTGGGATTTATGTATATCATTTCATTATTTATAAAAAAAATAGGTATAATCTTCTTCTACATGAGCATAATCAAATAAATATGGATATAATGGGAAAAACAAATTGTGAAAAAGAAATAGATTTAATAAAGAAAAGTGCTAAAATATTATAATTGAAAAATTTCCATATGCTTCATAAAATTTGAACATTTTTAATACCAAAGTTCCGACAAAGGAGGATGTTTACGTCGGAAGAAATTAATGAAGTAAAAAAAACATATTGAAAACTGGATTTGATTTGCATCGAAGAATATAGCATCGACGTGGATGAATAATCTGATTTTACCCCTTTCCCCAAATGCAAAGAGAATCAAATTAAAGGATATTAATAAATTATAAAATTGCTTAGCTCTATTAAATGCAATGTTTGATATAAATATCACCCGCTTCAAAATTTAACCCCAACATATGGGAGGATGAGGTTGTTACAGGGGAGACTATTGTACCTAATGACATAACAAAATATTTAAATCTTAAAGTAACCAGTTTTGATATATATAATTTAGCAAAATTTTAAGTTGCATATTACAATTAATTTAAATTTTAAATTACTTTATTAAATTTATTATTATTGGTTTCACTTTTATTTAAAGATCTCAATTGAGGAAGAGGATATACTTCAAACGGATATCCTACTTTGGTGGAAACGACTAGAAAGAGATTTGTCAAAGCTATTAAGATTAGCAAGAAAAATATTGGCAATTCCTGCAACTAGTGCTTCTTCCGAACGTGGATTTATCATTGCTGTAAGATTTTTAGAACAAAGAAGAACGTGTTTGAATCCAGAAAATGTCGATTCATTATTATTTTTGCATTATAATTACATTTAATATTAATTTTACATTTATATTTTTTTCATAAATATTCAATTTGATCAAATAAATTGTCCATAATTTACATTGATTATTTTTATAGTTATATTAATTTCCTAAATTATAAACTTTTTGTAGAGGAGTATTCAAATATTTTTATTAGATGCTTAAAAAAATGAAAGAATGACCATAATTAAATTTTATAAGCGGGTTTGGGTTAAATTTTTTTTATAAATAATAGGAGGGCAGGTAAAAAATTTTTGACTAATGGGCGGGCGGGCGGGTAAGGAATTTTAGACAAAAGGGTGGGGCGGGCGGGTATATATTTTTTTAAAAACTTTGGGCGGACTGGGCGGGCGGGTTAAATTTTTTTGAAAACATTGATTGGGCGGGCTTTTGGTCCAAAAACCCGCCCAATGCAGACCTCTAATTTAGATTATGAAATTAAACCCACCCTCCCCTCCACCCTCATTTAGAATGAATGTATTATTATAGCATATTGTTTGGCATGAATATAAGTTTGTTGAGAATGTCTAACCCTTTTAAATTACATTTAAAATGATAAAAGAAAGTTTTATTTATAAAATATGATTGTTTGCAATATATATATGGTCGACGATAAACAATATCATTATATTATAATAGGTCTATATAAAACTATTAATTTTTTACAGCAATATATTTTGTCCTATTTCATCTAAAAATTTAATAAATAACCCCTGAAAATTGGATGCATTGCTGGTTTGCAACAAGAGAGCTGCATAATTGATTGTATGAGTAATCAAAATGTTGCATCATTAAACATTTTTATGTTTAGATTATAGTGATTGTTGCAATAAATTAAATGTAAGATTTTTTTTATGCCATCACCATATTATATAATTTGCACAGAATGAATATTTATTTGTGAAATGCTATCTTTTTTTTTTACCCCACCCTTATTGCACAATAAATTCATAGAATGCTCATCCTTAGATATTTTTCACAGTTTTAATCAAGCATTATGTAAATATTTTTTTAATTTGTTCTATATTTAAAGGATATCTTATTTTAAATTCTTTAAAAAAAATTAATTACTATTTTAAAGACTTTTTTCAAAAAAATCATGATTAATACATTATGATTATAATAATTTTGTTAATATGAAAAATAAATAGAGACAAATGGACATGACTGACAATCAATAATGCATCCTTCAATCTGTGATATCTAAAATAATTATATTCAACTCGGCACGATCTAGGCAGATTATTATTTTTATAATTTTAAATCATGTGTTATTATTTTGATCTGTGTCATATTTCATTTCATATTTTATACAAGGATAATAATAAAAAATTTAAATATAAACATATATTTTTACTCTATATTTTTTAAATTTTTTTTAACTTAATTTAGATTAAAATTATGTTTTATTTAGTATTATATAAATTTTAAATATCTAGACATCCCGATTCAGAACCTGCATTCCTTCTTCTAAACCTTTACTATATCCACATATTGTAAACCAGATTTCTAATATCACTTTTTTTAGTAAGTGTGGTTTCGCATAGTATAATTAAAATTTATTTTTGTGGGGATTTGCCCTTAGTCGCATTTGGAGTGTTGCGGTGAGAGTAATCCAATTACTAGGTTTGGCTGATCTGGAGTCCCAAATCTCCCAGCATAGAAACATGTCTTTATCTTACGAATGAAGTGCTCAATTAATCCATTCGACTCAGGGTTGACCTAAAATGCTTTATGTTATTTTTAAAAAGAACGTTTTAAATTCAGATCTGTTAAGCTGAATACCGTTATCCGAAACAAAATTTCGAGATCATCTAGCTAAATAATTTCGCAAATTTTTATTACACTCGCTGAATTAATATGTGTTTAAAATTGCAACTTTAACCCATTTTATGAAAGTGTCTACGTAAATTAACCAATACTTTCCAAAGGAAGACTGTCAAGTCAATATGGATTCGTTCTCAAGGTCGGGTAGGAACATTCGATGTTTAATGACACTTCTCTGGCTCCCAGTCATCCTTCCTGACAACTCTTGCATCATTTGATGAAATCTTCAACATCAAGATTTGCCTCAAAAAAGAAATATCATCATAATGACTTTATTCCATACCACGATGTCCTCCATAAATAGACCCCTACAAAGTTATCTTTTCACGGCCCAAGCTCAAATTTAAGATTTTTCGTGTGCGAGCCCGACCTAAGCACAAATTTTTGTTTCAACTCGACCCGAGCCCGACTAAAAGAAATTAAAATTTTTCGCGTTTATTAAAAATAGCAATATTTTCCGGCTAAAATATTAAGTTAGCCTTTAAAATCAAGCCGTTTAATACCAGGTAGAGAAGAGTTTTTAAATATATTTACTTGTAGTTATCAATAAACACGTGTGGACTTCAAAGTTCTGAATAAATTCAGCTAGCCCATTCATGTTGCCCATCGATTTATCCTGATTCTTAATCAATTTTTTTACTCAATACTTGGCGGTAGACAACGTCTACATGACAGGATTTTCACTAGATGCACACCCCTCTCAAAAACCTATGCCTACCCCCCTAAAAAATTTATTCTCATTATTAATTACGTTGTTAATTATACTGGTACTCCTTTCATAAATTTTAAAAAGAATAACTTAAATTATTTAAGCTCTACTACCAACTATCAAAATATTGTGAACATAAAAGTTATTTTTTAGATTATGAATTCAATTAAAAACCCCCTCATTTACAATGAATGTATTATAGCATATTGTTTGGCATGAATATGAGTTTGCTGAGAATATGAAGAGAATTTTATTTATATAATGATATTCTTAATGTCTCAATCATATATATAAATTTCGGCTCTAAATTGAACTCAAGCTAACTCCTAAGCCGGCTTGAGCCAGCCGACTCATGTCTCAATAAGCTGACTTGAGCCTGAGTCAATTTTTCACTCAAAAACTGGCTAAGCCGACTTGATTTTAACAAAACTAATCACAAAATATAAATTTCGGCTCAAAAGTCGGCTTGAGCTAATTCCTGAGCCGGCTTATATCTACGTCTTGAGCCAACTCATGAGCAGGCTTATTAATTTCTATTAAATTTTCACCAAATTTAGTCTATAATCCCTGAAGCCAAATTTGGATCCAGTATCATTTTTAGGGTCGACATAAATATTTTGATAAAAAAATGGAAATAATATCTTTTTATAATTTTTGTTCACAATAATCAGTAACCCAAAATTTAACAATTACCAAACATTTGAGTTAGCCGTTTATCGACTAATTGAGTCGTTTTATAAAATAAATGTAGAAAAATAAATATCTAAAATAATAATTTTAAATAAAAAAAACCAAAAAAAATTGACTCTACCCAGAGAGTCGAGTCGTTTATCGATTAGAAAATAGGCTCGAGTGGCCGCTAACTCGACTCAGCCGTTTAACAACACTCTTTTAATAAAAATAAAGTTCCTTCAAAAAATAATTTTCTCACTGTTGGCAAAATAAAATAACTTGAAGAAAAGGGGAAATAAAAACATATAGGGTATAATATTACATTGCAATATATTAATTTACACTATTTAATTATTAAAAAATTGGAATTATATTAATTAAGTTTTTTCAATAATTATTTATTTTTATAAAACAATTGTGTGATAATATCCAATATGGTGGCAAAGATATAAAAAATAGATCATTATTCTTAGATAAGTAATATGAGTTGGAAGATATTATGATTTTGCAACTTTAATAATTCTACTTCTAGAGGGTTAAAATTATTAATACAATAAAGACAAAAATTTATAAAAATGTTGTATATATATTATATATTCATTAAATTAATTACAAAATGCTAAATTTTGCCAACTGGCAAAACGTCAATATATTGTTTTAAGAATATGGGAATATAATTATTCATAAATATATAGCAGTAGTATAAGTTTCCAAAAATGTTAGAAATTCAATGGAACAAAATTAACTTTATGTAAACGAGATGATGAGATTCGATGGACAGAAGCTATAAAATATTTATTTAATTATGTATGTTCTATTGGTCATGGTCAACATGATGACAAAACTTTCTATTTATTCATGATAAAATATGTGTTTTGAATAAAATATTTAATCTTTTATTTAGAATATTATAGAGTTTTATTTTTAACATCAAGTAATCGCGTTTTTTTAAGTATATATATATTATTTTAAGTTTCATTTAAGTTGGCGAATAAATAATCATTTAACAATAAGTATAAGAAGTTACAAATTACTTTTCAGTTAATAAATTAAAATATATGAAAATTGTTTAAAGTCATACAAAAAAATAAATAATTCAAAAACTAATAAAATATATAAATGCGCAGACTATATCTTGAAGATAAAATAAAATAAGCAGTATCTTAACAATTCATAATTCTAGTATCAACACCAACAAAATTTATTACTTAAACATAGATATTTAAAATTAAAATCAGGCCTTGCCCTTCATATAAAGTAATTAAATATATGTACACTTCTCGGGTATAAGTTTTCACTATGCCCAAATTTTTTAATCTCAACCTATGGAGGTTTAAATGGCAGGTCATCGTAATTTTGCGTATAAGTATGCGCGGATTTCTCGCAAAAATGTAAGGAGCTCTTTATTTTAATTTTTTCCAACCTATTAAAAGGGATTACCTAGTGTAGCTCTTAAAAAAATATTATATGACAATACTAATCAAGTTTTTTAATATAGCGTCATTTAGCATAGCACTAAGAGATTTATTTATTTAAAGATTTTATAAAATAGTTCAATTCATTCATTCCTTTAAAAATTTAAATTTTTTAACCATGAGTTCAAATATTAAATTATTTTTCTGGTTACTAGATGAATTCAAATATAACAATAATACCATACATTATGAAGAAATAAAACAAAAATTGCAATCATTGAAAAGGGGATTAATATATTCAAACGATAATACTACTTTAGTTGAAGACAACTTCATCAAAATTATTAGAGAAAAGACAAATAATAAATTTAACCAATATATATCACAAATCATATCATCCTTTTTATCTACCCCTCAAAATTATTTATCTTTGATCGAATATGAGTCTGATAAAAATATTGTTATAAAAGTTATAAATCAATTTTTTATTGAAAGAAATTATTTGCTAAAATTATATTCATATGTAACTCCACTATCTTTTTCATCTCATTTTCAAATATTCCAAAAAACTATATTTTCTACATTTTTAATTAACCAACTTAAATATGCATCACCTCTATACTTATCTTTTATTAAATCATATAACACTCCAAAATTATTAAATTACTATATTATTAATGAAAGATTCCTTTTATATTCCTACATTCTTTTTATAACTAATTTTAATAATCTTACATCTAGTGAATATCTAAGTATTTTGAGTGAATATTTTAAAGAAGAAAATGAATATACTCTCCAGGTAATTAATTATTTGATGTTTAGATTATATGTAATATTTTGATATATATTAGGCATTGATCTTGATACAAGGATTAAAATTAAAATGGGTTTATGAACACTCCCAACTAAATGAGAACAATATCTCCATTGAATCCCACTATTACTGCCATGATCCAAATTTTACAAAATTAAAAGATTATTTTAATACTAAGAATATATTTAATCTTAAAAATGGTTTACTAAGTCTTGCTTGGGGTTTATTTTGCTTTCATAACAATATAAATGAATACAAAATTTATCTCAAATCAGCATTTGAAAACAATATATTTGACAATATATACAAATGTTTTTTAAAGGCTCCTCAAATAAAAAGTAATGCAAATTTATTTAATTTCACTTATTATCCAATTTTTATAGACAATGAGAAAATATTAGTTATAGCAAAGAGAATATTCTATGACACGTTTTATGTTCTTTTATCAAGTTTTGATATCACAACATTGCATTTAACTACTGATATTTATGATGTATTCAATCATTTAATGACAGAAAAAGTATGTTAAATAAAAAAATAAAATAATTGTCATAGATGCTAAAAATTTGTATTTTTATGTCCTCTAAAATATTGATAATAATATTGAGATTATATTTATATATTAAGAACCTTAAAAGTTTAATTGAAATTACCATACTAAACACATATGAATATTATTTTAAATTTTTTTTTTAGGTAATAAAAATATATTACCAATTCATAACTGCTTATAAATTTATCCCATTTGTATTTAAAATATTTTTTCCAAGAGATGAAGCAATAGAAATAGAATTTAGACTTCTGCAGGGATAACTTGTCAGTCTAAGCTTGCGATAATATAATCAATAAAATATAGGCCTAAGTTTATAACTCAAGAAAATAGAAATGTTGTATTTTATCCATTTTCTTTCCTTTTTGCCTTATTGTTATATAAGTTAATTGATCATTCCATTATAAATTGACCAAAAAATGAAATTTTATAGGATGATTATTTCGAGTCCAACTAAATCTCTAGCTTAAACAGATCTATAGTTATGAGATTTCAAAGTCCAATACAGATCTGATCTTGGTTTTAATAATTTCAAATGACCTGATATATATTTTGTCAAATTGTATAAATTTTATATCATTTTATAGCCCTTAAGATACTTTATAAGAGAATATAAGAAAATTTTTAAAATTTTTTTTAGTAAACTAATTATTTCGAACTAGCCACAATTTGGGATTACGAAACTAACTCACCAGATATGTTTATTACCAATATATTGTAAGAATTAGAATGAAGGAAATAAGAATTTAAAAATTGTCTTGTTTCATAATTTTAGATTTGAAAAACTAAATAGAGAGGGCTATTTTTAAATATTATTATCTCATAATTTTAGAAATGAAAAAACTAAATAGAGAGACCATCTTTAAATATTACTTATGTACGATTAAATAGATTTTTTAACTTTGATCATCCTCAGATTTAAGTGAATTTATTTTTTTTAAGCCTGGTTGAGCATGTAAAAAATAATATTATTGGCCTCTACTTGCACAAGGAATTAGAGATCTACAAATCTCAGCCTGATTTCGAGCCAGGGGGTGTCTATTAAAATAAATAATTTTAGTTTGGGCTGGTCAGGCCTAGTATTTTTTTAAAAAATTTCAGGCCAGGCTGGGCTTGAAAAATTATGCATTGATGCAGATCACTACAAGGAATTATATATGTTCGTAAATTGAAGAAGCTTGAAAAGCATTTTTTTGAAAATTTCTAATATACGCTGTCCATTTAAACATTTTGGAAAAATTGCTTTGTCTATTTTTTATATTACTTCAATTTTTTATGGACAATATAATAAATTATTAAAACAAGAAATAAATTAGGTGCGCCACCAGCAATTAAAAAAATTTTTTAATTTAAAAATCGGACCATATGGTAATGTGACTTTCGCTAATTCAAATTAAAGGATATTAGAATGAGAGGCATTAGTTTTATATTTATAAATGAACATTCGAATTTAATATTTTCAATGGTTCTTTTTGATGTTATAATAGACGTTACATGGGAAGCAGTATTAATTGATACGTGATTAATAATTTAAAAAAATAGTACATTCCTTAATTTCTATCATATATTATAGTACCCGCATTGTATTTAATTTATTAAAAGTCTATAATTATTTTTCTATTTAATAAATGTAATCGATACGACTTTTTTAAAAATTTTATTATAGGAATTAGTCAATGATTTCTGGGCATCATACGAGCTGGACATTGGATTTAGTGCTTTTTTCAAGATTGTTCCCATTGACAATCATAATATCATCAATTTATTGTCCATAATGGCTCAAACTTCCCCTTCAAATTGCGTCAGATCTATCAATTATTTAGCCCAAAAATTCGGCCAAAAATCAACTAATTCGTAATCGATTTTTTTAAAATTTAATTCATTTACCTTTACACCTGCTTTGGTTTACTGAAATCTGCGGTATTCTCCATAGCTAAGTTATTATTTCAAATCAAATTTAGGCCAACTAAAAGTAGACCCACACCCTCCTCACCCCATTTTTTTCTATCTTTAGGTTAGATATATATGTCCTATTGGGATCAATGATTTATATATCCTAGTAGATTGGCGATTCGTTAAGTGTCCATACATAGGAGTAAGAGGTAGCGCCATTTTGTGGTTTACACTTTGATTAATTGTCTTTATTTAGCATTATAATTTTAAGAGACATACAATCACAAAATAGCACTACAGCTGACTCCTATGTATGGACATTTTTAAAGGCATTTATTAAAAGAATCGTCAATTTATTGATTGGGAGATGGAATCCATGGGAATTCGGAATCTCTCGATTTTAAGTCATTTACTGAAGGCGGGTTTTAAATTTAAAAAAAATCTGATTAAACCAGAAACGCATCATTCCAGGACATATAGAGTACTCACACTTGAATTTCGGACAATTTTTCGTGAACTTTCAACCTATTTTTATATAGATTTTTTTTATAACATAAATTAAAAAAACATAAAATTTTTTGCGGTCAAATCAGACTTTTCCAAATTTAAAATTGCGTTCTCATTAAATGATATAAAATTGAGAAATTTAGAATCCCCATGGAATACCATATACCAATAGGACATATGTAATATAGCTTCTTGATTTATTAGGATTTATATTTCTATCTGAAATGATTTAGATATAGATTAATCTTAAAATCTATCTACTTTGACAGAAGTTAACTCAGTTTTTTTAAATAAATGCCAGTAGAACACTCCTATCAAACAATCATATAAATTTTTTTTGCTACTAGATAAATTTATTTATATTTTTTTTGCTGTATGGTTTGGCAATTTTCGGTCTGGATTTTTTTAAAAAAAATCCCCATTTACAAAGCCCAATCTGACCCTGGTTAAAAATAATTTTTTTTGACCTATTTTGGAATTATGAGAAGGAATATTAAATTATCCTTCATCTCATTTTTCAACTGGTTAATTGATATAATTAGTTTGCGGGCTAGCCTGAGTTTATAAAAAATAATTTTTAATTTTGAACTCGATTCAATTTAGATTCTTAAAAATTTTACCGTTTTATGACCTGGACTCTGGGTCAGGTTTGCTTGCAGGTATCCGATACATGGCCCTTAGTATATTTTGAATATTTTTTTTAACCAATACTAATATATATTTTTTTTTAAAAAAGTTTTCTCTATGAAGAAACAATTATACCGGAAGATTATTACGCATTACTCGACCAGATCTCCGTGTTTGTTGACAAGGTTACCTTAATTGTTTATGTTTGCGGCAATGTGTTGTTTTTCAGCTTTAAATCATATTTTGGCGCGTTTTTTAAAATTCAAAGATTTGATTTTACCAGAAATGTATTCCAGGTTTTTTAGAATACATATTTTTATTAATTGTAAACAATTTTACCATTAACCTTTGAATCATTTATAATTTGTATAAAAAAATCTATGAAAAAAACTAAAATAAATTATATCAAGATCAAAAGTTCATGGCACACATATTTGAAACCTAATACATTCCCGGCTAAAATCAGATTTAAAAATAAAACCCGCTCAAAAAATGATTTAAAAATGAAAAAATAATACATTGCCACTAACATTTATAGATTTAAAAATTTAGTTAATCAAAAATTTATTATTAGCCATCATGACATATTCAAATGACATAAAATATTATACAACACTAAGTCTAGACTGACAATGAAACAAAAATGATTTTTTTTTTTAAATAAAAATGATTTTTTTTAAAAACAAAAGTGATTTTTTTTAAAAACAAAAGTGATTTTTTTTAAAAACAAAAGTGATTTTTTTTAAAAACAAAAATGATTTAATTTTAAAAACAAAAATGATTTAATTTTTAAAACAAAAATGATTTTTTAAAAAAAAAAATTGTTCCAAAAAAATTATTTTAACAGGTAATTTCTCAAATTTTATTTATAGATTTTAAAATAAAATGATATAGCAAGTTAGACGGCTTTACGTCTATAAATTAAGATTACATAATATTATTTTGACTAAAATCTTAATCGGGCTGTTTTTCCTTTTAACAATACTAACTTTGGGTTGGCCGTTTTTATAAAAGCCTTTTAACAACATTAATTTGAAATTATAAAATGCTTGATGAATATTTAATATTTTTTTTTTAAAAAAAACTTCTATTAGATTATTTATCAATTTAAAATATTTTGAATATAAATTTAATTTGTGGATAAAATTTAAAAGGCCCTTTACCTATTTTTTTTACTTAATGTTAAGGGGCAATTTTTTTTTTTTTTGGGGGGGGGGAAGGGGGTAAAATACTCGGAGTTATCTCCGGAATTATTTGGATTATATCTTTTTTAATTTTTGGGGTCTTTGACATATTTAAGAGGCTTATCGACATATGATAATGATTAGTTTTATAAAAATAAGCTAATTGAATTCTCTTACAGAGAACTGCAGGCCCGACCCTAAGCCCGGCCCGGGTTAAATTTAGGCCGTGCCTAAAAAATTTTTTAAAAAAGATATCCGGGCCGGGCCATATATTTTAAAACCAAATATTTGAAATCGCCATTTTTAGCTGAAAATAAATAATATATATTTAAAAAAAATCCGGGTCGCCGTATAAATGGTACCTCTGCAGGTCTTTGCCTTAGTTATATAGTATATGTATAATTGATTCATTGAAGGGATTTGATTAATATTCTCAACAAGTCTAAGGTACTGTGAATTTAATGCCACAAAAAGGATCCTTAAAATAAATATTTTTTATTTTCATATTCTAAAAAAAATAAATCTTTCTATCTGACTATGCAATGTTTTCAATTTCATGTATAATTTTGAATGCTCCATTTCAGAAATTTGTTTGCCTACTTTTAATTGAAAGATGGCATATTTAGAATTGATATTTTGAAATCGTTATTTAATAGAGATGCCATGTCGTTCAGCGGCGTCCGAAAATCCTTTCCGACCGTATAGCAAGATATGTTTTTATTGATATTGCAATTAGAGGTGGGCACGGGCCTAATTTTTTATTCACGGCACGCCCGCTCAGGGTAATAATAAAAAAATTTACGCTTACCACTAAAAAATTCGCCCGCTCACGAAAGACAATATTTTGATTCACGCCCGTCATGCCAGAAAATTTACGGTGTTTTTAAATTTTTCAAAACTTTATTGCTCGAATTTTACACTTTTTTGAATTTATCTATACATTTCTCAATCCATATTAATAACAAAAAATAAATTCAATATATAAATCGAAATTTTTATATAGAAAAAGAAGAATGTCCATGTTTTTTTATAAATTGTATACGCCTTTCTTCTAATATGCGATTGGCTACAGAAAATAACCCTCACTAGAATGTCAAGAATTACATTTTCATAGTAAAATAATATATATTATATGACAAAAGAAGATCAACATACTCATATAAATAAGCTTGAGAAATTTGATTTGAATATATAAATTTTAAAGTTTAATCAAAATTTAGCAAAAAGTCTCGCGTCAACACCTATTTTATAAAAAGAAAGTAGAACTAGGGGCATGATATCGGATATTATTTATAAAATGCGGAATATTTTTTGTTTTCAAAAATTATTCTTTTTTAAAAAAGAACTAAATTAAATTAAAAAACATATATTATCATTATAAAATTGCAAATTTATATTTATAAAATAACAAAAAAATTAATATTTCCGTGATTCACGACAAATTTATGTTCACGCCCGGGAAAAATTTTGTAAAGGATCGCCATGCCTAATAATTTAAAATTTATTCACGCCGTGACCCAATGTGCCATCTTAATTTTACGGTCCGCCCCCACCTCTAATTGCAATGCTATAAGGTTTGTAAATGTTTTTTTACGTTTATAAAAAAAGGTGATTGTTTAAATTTTGGGAACGCTAAAACATTTTCGAGGTCAGAACATGCAACAGCCCTTATTCGGTATTCATTCGATAATAATTTTAAATATTGCTGGGAGGATTTCTTATTTTTTTTCCTGTTTTTTTGCTTAAATGAAAATTCGGTATTGTTTTCTTACATACTTTACACTCTTTTTTGAATGATAAAACCCTTTGAAATTGAATATATAATATAGAGACATACATTAAAAGTAAAACTGATTCGATATTTTATTACATTATTTTTATTTTTTTCTTGCGAAATTTATAAATTAAGTCAAAGTGTCAGGTTATTTTTTCTTTATTATAAAAATGAGATTTTCAATTCTTCAGCTTGTGAATTTGCCAATTGTCCTAAAAAAAATGATCAGACCTTTTAATTTAAAGATCCCGTTTGTATCAATCAAACAGATATGGTATAACCAAGCGAATCCGATCACTTTATTTAAGATCATCAATAAACCACTCGACAAATAAGTCCAAGTTCAAAATCCCTAAAATCTAAATTGTAAAATCGCTATTAACATAATACATGGCCCCAGATAAATTACTTTAATCAGAAAAAGTCGAACCTTAAATCGATGCTTAAATAATTTATAGAAATTGTTATACTAACTTGAATATATTATATATATATATATATGTATGTTAGATGATAGATCAAACAATCGTTCTATATTTTTAATGTCATTTTTATTTTAAAATCTCTGGCTTAAATTTGAGAAATTACCCCTACCTAATTTTTGGGGACAATTTTGAAGGAAAAATGCTGTAAATAGATATAGAATAAAAAAATAATGGGTTTTTTAAAAAAATTTCAAATTTTTTTCATATATTTTATTTTGTGCAACAACAAAAAATGATTATATTCAAAAATAATTATATTCAAAAATTTTATTTCATATTTTATAATATATAATATAAGTAACAGATAAATTAATTTGAATAAATTTATTCTTTTAAGACAAAAGGTTTTCATAATATTGTTTTTTCTTTTAGAAACATGCGATTTTTAATAATTATATTTGTGCCAATGCTCGCGAGATGTAGAAGTCTGATTGCAAGATCTTGCCATTTATAAATAAAAAAAAAGGTTTTTTTTAAAGAAAATTTTAAATAAAAAATTATCAACAATAAAAAATGTTTTAATACTGCAGATGCCGGAATAGGTAAAATATTTTTCATTTAAAAGAAATAAATTAATCATTTGACTATTAATATTTGAATATAATTTCTAAAATTAATCAATAATTCGAATATAAAAAATTTAATAATTTTTATATTATTCGTTTTTTCGAGTAGAATTTAGTTATTGATATTCGTAATCGAATCGAATAACAAATCGTATCGAAAATCAAGATTTTCTATAATACCTTATATAGAAAATGTGTACGGTTTTTTTTCAATTTAAAATCGGAATTTTTGTTCAATCTCTAAATCAAATATTTTTAAAAAAAAATGAGCTAAGCTCTCTTGGAAACTAAAATCGTATACATGGAAATTAATTGCTACTTACTAATTTCAGTAAGATCTGTAAAAAATTAATTTTCTTATCTTACCATTTTGAAAATAAGATAGTCATTTGATAAGATCGCTCTCCTATAATTTGGAAAAACGAGGAGATATAAAATATTGTAATGTTCACACGACGTTGTGTTAAATTTTCCCGGGAATAGGATTGTAATATTAAAAATTGAATAAAATTAGTCACTTTGAAAAACATTAAAATTCTTTTATTTTATAAAAACTAATAAACATTCCACTTCTTTTGCACTAAATGCAAATATGCTATAATTTTTTTTCCTTCTATTATTACCATATTTATAGTTAATATCGACTCCTCTTCCCATTCATCCCGATTCCAAAAAACTCTTAAACAGCATGTCGGATGACTTGGTAACCTGTCACGCAGCCGTTTTTCTCCTTTTCGCCCCGTTTAAATTACCCGATAATAATAACGATAAAACGATTGTTCAGTCCGATCCATTTCCCCAAATTCAAATTTTATCTTTCAAAAATCAACCTCTAACGAAGGGCCAATTAAAAGTCATTTTAAACCTATTACTTATCAGTTCCTGCAAAATGATGAAATTTTCCAGTGAACTGTTGTGCGAAACGATTACACATTCTGCCAAGAGCGGAAATATAGACAAGGAAATCAAAGAAGGTGGACTAAATCTAGAAGAAAAGCGACTCGTGGATATACTTGAATCGGGGATTCAAAAATGTTTGGAAAGCATTCTTTTGGCGGCTAAGATTTCTAAGGTAAAATTTTTTCACGTGAATAAATAGTATTCTTTAGAATTTTTTAATGTATTTATATGTGTTTAGGAGTTTCCGATATAGTCCTTGTAAAATTGTAAGATTTCTAAGACGCTAATAGCTATAAGAAGTTGTAAAAATATTTTCTGTCCACCATATTTTACATTTCCTGTCAACTTATAAACTCGTTATCTATCCGTATTCCATGATTTCACTTCCTATCACCTCCATTTTATAATTGCTTAGCATATTCTTGAATTATAATTCTTAGATTTTTCTCTTGACCTTGAGAAAAAGCGAATATTATCAAAATGTCAACCTTCTTTTTTTTTATAAACATTTAGACAAATGATGAGTCAACAGATGATGATCAATTTCTACAATACTGGAAGCATGTTTGTCGAAGTTCATTTTTGCCTTTTTTAACTACCGATAAAATACTTGCGGAGAAAATCAAAATGGATATCGATTTAGAATCGCCGATTCAAAGTTCCTTATACGGTAAAAATGGTGTGGCTGTTGGGTTGATTTAGATATTAAGTCAATGTATTTAAGTAGCCAATGGTTTTAACCGTCCTTAGATCCGAAACTCAGGAGAAACAATGTCCAGTAGACCGATTGTATAAATTTGCTTTTGAGTGTCTAAACACTTAAAGAATCGACTAAACGACAATGAACAGCGCCTCACTTTTTTCGCTTGCTCTTGAACTTATTATTAATCACACCCTTGATAAGTTGAGAATTTTTTTTATCAATGAATAAAGGATTGAAATTAAGTAAAGTAGTGGCACTATAAATAATTGTAAAAATTTCTCCAAAAAATATCAAATATATCTTTTTTATGTGATTTAAAAGTTAAAAAAAAATATATTATCTAACGTTTTTTTATGAGGGATAATCAATCCCCATATAAGAAGAATTATTAAAAAATTATTTTTTTCAATAAAAAAAGTTTAAAAATTATTATTTATATATATATTTTTTTAACTTTCCTCCAAAAATAATATTTATTATACAGAAACTATCTTGTACAATTATGAAATTTCAAGTCGAAAATTCCCCATAACTCAGATATTCGTAAAAATTTTGAGCGAAATAACGGGCCATAGTTCTTATAGGGTTTCCCTTTTGAATGACCCATACTACAAAAGCTGTATCATCGTTCTGTTGCGCGGAGTAGTTCCTCATATAACTAGTTCAAGGGTTTATTTTATTTTTTTTTGGAAACATCGCTTAATATAATTTTTATTAGTGTCAGTTTGTTATATCTCCATTCCTTGTTTTTCAAACATTTAAGTTTTATGAATCAAACTTTTGTATTTTATATGATATAGAAAGAAAAGAAATAAAGAGAGAATGTAAAAATCAAATTTAAATATTTTTAAAGGACGATGATATAACCTGTTACATGCAAACTTGCAATCAAATATTAAAAATCGTTCAATGCTTAACGGAAAATTTTTCTTTCATAGAAAATGATGCCAATTTATCTTTGAACGACTTTGTATATCGTCAATTTTACGAGGCCCACTCTGAACTATTCTCATTTTTGATCGAAGTTATTGTATGGTGTAAGTGCTCTAAATTTTTTTTCGTGTAACTTAAAACGTCGTATGAATATCGGGTTCCGGATAATCTTATTAGATATAAGCCAGGGCCCGATAAAATTCTTTTACCGATTTTCCGGCCTAGTCCATAAATATTTTATTTACATTTTTTTAAAACTCATATCTGGCTTCGAGCAAGTGATATGTTGGTCTATAATCTATTATACTCTATCCGTATTTTGAATTTCGAGAAAAATTAAATATACCATTTTGACTTAAAAAGAATTTTTTTCAAAATTATTCTCTCAGTTTTTAATTAAATATATGTGCAATATTTACTTTTAAATAATAACGCAACATTAAGTTTTTAATCAGGAAAACATGCATTTAAAACAAATAAATTTTAGATAAAGATTTTTCTTTAGATGTATAAATATTTAAAATATATAGGTTACGATTGCTACAATAATTCCGACCAAGACCCTTGCTCTAATATCGAACATCTCCCGCCAGATTCCAGATACGATTTTACTTCATTCTATCCACTCCTTGAAAGTCTCAATTTGACTTGCCTTTCAACTCTGACTAAGCTGTTGTATAATCTGAATAATTGCGTCAAATCGACGAAGATAGCAGCGATAACCTCATCGTTGCATCAAAATATCTCGAATGTTTTAAATTTCTGCTTACCATCACCAACCATTAAACCTGTCGATTATAACAATAAAATCACTAAACGTACATTCATTTTCAATGTTCTGCTCGGCCATATTATAAGGTGTCACGATTTTTCGCTTCTTACCTCTAACCCTACCTCCCAATCTTTGAATCCTAATAATCCATCTTTACTCTTGATTCAACCCAAATCATTCATTCTCGCTCTCACGGCTTTGAGGCACATCATCGACTTAAATAATCTCCGAAATTCGATCGATCCTAAAAATTTGACACGTAATAATATCTACACCTATTTTTCTTCCGCTTTTCATAACATCTCTCCAACCTTTGCCTTGGCCAATATCCCAACGGAACCCAAACTTTTCGCCATAGCCTTATTTGCTACTCTAAAAAATTGTAATCAACGATCATTTACGACATCTTCGAATAATGCAAATAATACGTATCAAATGTCTATGACGGTTTCTCTATGCATTTATGCGTTTCTTGGTAGTTTAACTAAATGTCACAGGGACCCTACATTCCTTTACCTACTCTTTACCCAAAATTGTGGAATATTGGGTAAAATTTGGATATTCAGATATATTATTTTTTTAGATAAGAATGAGGATTTTTTTTAACCCTTTGCTTGCCAACTCGGTCCAATGGGCCTATTGATCATATTCAATTCCTAAGCTTAAATTTTGTCAATAACTTTATAATAAAATCCACTAAGAACATGGCCAAAAATAATTACTCCTACACCCAAAGGGTCTATTCGACCATATACTTAAATTAGTATTCTTAAATTTAGATTATTTTTTAAATTAATCTAGATTATAAATTAATTTGGATTATTTTATTAATTATTCTTATAAGATTAACATTTTTTAGTTATATAATACCTAACATAATATTTTTCTTTAACAACAGGCATTCATCCTAAGACCTGCAAAAATTTTTTTTTTCGGATTTTTTTTATAATGGGCTCTATGACAACCGAAGTTATTATTTGCTAAACTTTATTTTATATACGCAAAAATTAGGCATATAAATATTTCTATGATGATTATTTAGGTAGATTTTAGTATCCATATAATTATCCAGGAAGACAGCGATTCTGGATGTTACCTTGATACACCTAAAATGATCAAGATGAGCTGTCACATTAACCCTTCAAAAATTATGACAATTCTCTAGACGTACTGAAAAAATTACTCAGAATTCCAATTATTACCAAGGATATGATTGAAAACTAGTATGTAAACCAAAGTGGCACAAATACTTGAAATTATCATTCGTAAAAATCTAGGCCCAATCTTATTCGCTGCATGAGAATGTAATTCTCAAGCGTCCTCATGACGTTTCTTCAATTATCCAATTATATGCGAGTAGTCCAATAAAGAATGGGATAAATTTCTACCATATGTTGTGAGATAAATGTTGATGAATTGAAAAACGTCTTTTGTACATTAGTGGGTAGGAGAAACTGAACCGATTTTTGCAAAATCGACTATAGCTCCTATGTTTTTTTCAGATATTATGAAAAAAATATATGAATAGATCTAAAACTTCTATAAAGATGCCTTATTAAAAATTTTAAGAATAAAATCATATTTTTGAAATTTTGTTTTTTGTAAAGGAAGAAATTTTATCCAACAATCCCCAATAACGGGGTTAGGGAAACCACTTCAAGGGGCTTCCTAAGCCATTGGTTTTTAAAGGCTATAATGAATTGAAATACATTTTGATTTACTAATAGTAATAATGATACGTGTAGAATAAATTTATTGTTATATTGTTCAAAATATCATAATACTATAATGAAGTTAATTATATATAAAAATTGAAACTTAATTTTGGTTAATTTAATAAACATTTTGGACATAGAAAAAATATATCGAAGTTTGAATATGTACCATGTGCCTATCCTTGGCGTATTCTGCTTTCTCTTGTAATATCTCATATAGTTTGATCTAGAAATCATAGCAAATATAATATTAGATTATATTCAATTATATTATACTTTATTATAATTTTAATACATCATTTGTTAAAATTTATAAATAACATTTAAAAATAATATATATATAATATTTTAATCTCTTTACCATTACCATTTAGATTTTTATTTATATAATCTCTATTATTTAATATTGCTAAAATTTGATTTTATTGTTTAAAATTACTTAAAATTAATACAATAATACTACTTCATCATAATTTTAATTCTGTTAAAATATAAGAACATTAAATTTATAAATTACATTGAAAAGAATATATAAATAATATTTTTATCTCTTTACCATTACCATTTAGATTTTTATTTACATAATCTATTATTAAATATTGCTAAAATTTGATTTTATTGTTTAAAAATACATAAAATTAATACAATAATACTATACTTCAACATAATTTTAATCAATCATATGTTAAAATCTAAGAACATAAAATTTACAAATTACATTTAAAAATAATATTTTAATTTCTTTATCATTACCATTTAGATTTTTATTACATAATCTCTTATTTAATATTGCTAAAATTTGATTATATCGTTTAAAAATTACATAAAATAATTGTGATTAATATCTTAAAAATAAGACAGATAATTAGATAAATTTACTAGTTATTTGGCTATTGATCAATCTTCATATACCATTATAAAATCAATTCACCAAATTTTGGTATATTTCTAGATAATCATTAATATACTTTTGTAATTTTATTGGATTTTAATTCTCGCACCATAGCGAATAATGTAAAAATTGCTAAAAAAAATCATTCAAAAGGATTGATGTGTATTGTTTAACTAGCCCCACCAGCTTATTTAATCATGATTGAAATAATATCAAGACATAATAAATGCTCATAAAACTTTCTCACATTATAAAAGTGTTAAAACTTTGCTATAAAATTAAATTTATATATATTTTAATAATTAAAATTTTGTCATGTAAAAATTTTTGAATTTTTCATCAAAATTTTATTTGAAATAAAATTTTTAATAATAAATTATTATCAAAGATTTTTTGTCTATAAGTGTAAACTAATAAAGCTATATTAGGATAAAATTTTAGTATATTTAATTTTAAAATGAGATTAAGTGGTTTGCCAAGCCCCCAGATTTACTTAACCCCAGTCTCCCCTACTAGACATCTAAAAGCTCGCTTGGCAATGTGCTTTACTATAAAAGGTAGAAAAACATAATCAAACAAAATTAAATAATGTACATTCAAAGTATATTCAATATTATATTTATTTATAAATTTTTTCATTATTTTAAATAAGTATTATGTTAGAAATAAATGGTATGGTCGATTTTTTACATAAAGGGCCCATTTGGTAAAGGATATTTTATTTTTTGCTTGGTAAGCTAAGGGTTAAATATTTCTTTTCTACCTAAATTATTTACATTCTTCCACAAAATTCAAGATAATCCCACGCTAAGTCCAACTGAAATCATACTGTTAGATCTAAAACCTTCCTTACCTAAATCAATCACCTGCGCATGTCTAAAACTTGTTAGCTCAATAACTGCACGTTGTGACATTAACCCAGCACTTTTATCCGCCTTTAGATCTAGCATTTACGTCTTCGAAAATATAGCCAGGAATTGTATCGAAAAGGACATTTCTCACGCCACTAGCTTTTCGTCTTTTACCAACGATGAAGAAAATGGGATAGCCAAAAACTTCTTTATGAACGAATTTCTGGAATCTATATCTTGTATCACTCATGCATTAGATGTATTAATTGCCCTAGATTTTCACAATCCTGAAACTGAGAATGATAACCGCCCAAAAATTTCGCAAAATACTCAACGGAATACTGAAACTCGCAAATTACTAGGAGGATGTCTACCCATGTTATCCAGTATTTTTAAGGCCATAACTCATCAAATTTCACCCAGTACCGCTAACCCCGAAAACAATGAAAAATTTTTCGATCACACTATCGCTAATTCTGTTTTGTGTAGATTTTTTTTGAGAAAACACAATAGTCTCGAAAACACTAAAATATGCAGTGCTCTCGATTTGTTCTTCGATTCCTTGTCTAGAGCCGCCCGTTACTCTGCTCGTAACGTCGAAGATCATATATCCTTTTGCGATTTGGCCTTAGCTACTACCCAAATATTTGCCGTTAATCCTTGGTGGTGTTCGTCTCTCGACAGGGAAATCTTATCTGGAACGGATGAACACGAAGATCTAGTTTATCATAACTTGTTATTCTCTATTTTAAGGTTTGCGGAAACGGTTATATTATTTAATGACAAATGTGTGTCGGTTCCTTCTATGCAATCTTCTCACTCATCTATTGATAACGTTAACGAGGAAATATTTAAATCGAAATCGTTGGAGCCTCTTCTCTCTGGTTTGACAAACATTCTAGAATATATCGATGAAAATCAATTAAATATGACTTCACAAAACCCTAGAGTGCACGCCTTGGTGTGTAACATATTTTTGAGTCTGTTTCTGTCATTTGAAAAAATCAACAAAGTTCCATCAAACATTAACTGTAAAAATGATGATAATAACGATGAAAAGGAAAATGAACTCAATAATAGGTGCCTTTTGAAGGCTAACATCGCCGCGCTAGCTAAAAATGGATTTCTGGCTCTGAATTTGTTTGCACGTAAATTCGTAAATCTTCTCGAACAACGAAGAAAGAATGCTGGAATATCTCTCACCTTTACCATTGATGTTGACGTGTTTTCCCTCACCTACCTGGCCCTGATTCGAGCCATGTTTTCGAACCCTTGTCACTATCGTATGTATGGACTCACGGCCAGTAAATATCATATGCTTAAAGATAGGGTAGACAAGGAAACCAGGGAGGAATCAATAGCACGCAAAGATGATTCTGACATATTCATAAATTTGTTCAGAACGCTTCTTCGATTCTCTTACGGTTATTTAGCTGAGGGACGAGATGGAAGTACTGGAAGCTCGCTTGATAATAAGGTAGTAACCGACTACGAAGAATTTTTAGCTTCCTCTACACTCGAAACCTTAGCCACAATTTGTGTTTCCCATCCCAAGAATAGAAAAATTCCAGATGGTTATACTCAGTTTTGGCTTAATTTCGTCGTTCAAACATGTTTGATAGACTCTGGCTACATAGATAAAATGCTTTTTCTCCCACTTGACTTTCCCTCCACTCGCACTGACGCAAAAAACAGAGGCAGTTCTTGCTTCCCTTCCATATTGGATTGGGACGATAAAACTTACGGTTCTCTAGTAAAACTTTTAACTTGTCGATTAATTTCCACATTACCTTACCCAACTCTCAGCGCCACTTGCTTCAAAGCCATATGGTCTAATTTTTGTCCCCTTTTAGCTCGCTTGGCCTTCATACAACCATTCTTCCCTCATCTCACAAATAACAATGTTATCCGAAACACTTCTGTTATGATTCCACCTTTGACGCTGCTCATAAGTCCTACCCACGTGGGTTACAAATGGGCTTTATCCTCCTCTAAGTTGCTATTCGGCCTTATTTCTTCGACGCCTCAATTATCTTTACCGCATTTTAATAAAACCGATGACCCAACCGATTTCATTTCTCCCTGCATCTCTATAGCTATTCACCAATGCACGGCTTACTTGTCCAAACCACTGAGTTTGGAGGAACAAATTAGGATGGTAAGGAGATGCGAACCCGTACTCACATCTTTATCCCTCTACAGTAATGGAAATCGAAGCATGAATAATTTCGATACGGAGATGATGATTTTGAAATCTAGGTTGGCTTATGTTTTAAACCATTTAATTAATTGGGAATCATATATTTTTACATTCTAAGTTGTCCTAGATTATGATTCTTAACAGATAAAGAAGCAAAGGTAGAATGCAACAACCTAAGATATTAATTAAAAGTTATAATGTTAAATAAGGGGAAAACGCCTTAAATATTTATTTTTTAAATATAGACTATTTGAATTATTGCATTACCATCTCACTATCCTTCGTAACATGACATTTGATCTCAATAAATTGGTAATAGCTTTATATGATGTTTCCATATTTGGACAATGCAATCACTTTTTATCGGTAAATATAATCTTAATCTGATTAAATTCATTTGTTGTCCAATGTACTTGGGTTTTCTAGAACTGGGGTTAATTACCTACTTAAAAAAAATTACGGTTACCGTTACTCAAATAAAATATATAATAGAATACCGTTACCTCCAAAAATATATTAAGAGTTACTTTACCTGAACGGATAACGATTACAAAAGCTTTTTGTTACATAATTGGAAATATGTATAAATGATAATCGAAAATATGATAAAGAATTTTATTGATTTATTTCTCCCTAAATTCTAAAATAAAATTAAGAAGTAATGAATTAATATCTAAAGGAAACTAGTTTATTAATATTTTATTATATATCAACTTTAATATAATAGCAATTTAAGGTCGATACAGCCTGGGAAGATTTTTGGGCTGGGCAAATTTTAATTTTATAATTAGCCAAATTTTTGTCGTTTTCTTTATAAAAAAAATTAGATATAAGAATATTTGGGTCATTCCATGACAAATCGATCACGATTCTACCGCTTTTAAATTTTTAAAAATTTCTGGAATTATTTAGATAGGTAAAAAATGATAACGCCATTTATTTTAGCTCGCTAGCACATTCGAGATATAGGGGATCATAGGCACAAAAATTAGCCACTTAATCTGTAAAATTTTTAAAATGCTTATATCTCAAAAATTCTTTATAGTAAAAAAATAGGTAAAAAAAATCTCTAAAAAATAAAAGATTTGGCACTTATTTGACTCTTTAACTTCCGGTTTACCTATATTGCTTTACCTGTCTCTAAAAGGGAGTTTTTTCCAAATTTTGCCTTTTATTTAAACTCGTTTTATAAATATACACACGATGTCAAAAAAGCGATACTATCAGCCCTTCTGAAATAGACATTTTTACTATTATTGAAAGAAAATAGATGGCGCTTTACTAAACTACGGATTATGGTTTGTTTCTAACTTACCAATAACATGATATTTTCACTTTTTATACTAAAATATTTCGAATTTCTATCAAATATACCAATTAAACTGAGGGATAGTAGGGAAAAATGCCCCTTAGACACTTAATAATAAATTATAAATCTTATACCTTTAATATTTTCTTTAGAATAGACAAAACTCTTTAGGACAAGTTATTTGTTCTGAAACGGGTCTTTGTAAACTAGCCCTGGCCACTAAACATTTGATTGGAGCTCCGACTCTGTCACAAGCCGATTTGCTGAGATGTGGCCCAGAAATGTCACTTAGCTTTTATTCCAAAATCTTCTTGGTGGCGAAGATTGATTAAATTTTTGCAACTTATTTTGTGATGCTGCTCCATCTTAAAAGTAGAATTTTTTTGGTCGACATTAGAATTTCTGTGTAGCGGACTAAATTTTTTTTAGAAAATATGAACGGCAATTGTATTATGAATGAGAGATTCAGATATTAACTGACTTGTAATAAATCACAAAAGGATGAATGGTAACTTGCGCTTTATTTCAGTGAAACTCCTGAACTTCATCTTGAATCACAAAGGCATAATTTTCCACAAGATCTACCTGAACTATACAGTCTCTTTCATTTGAATTAATTTTAATAGAATTCCTGAATAGCTTGCTACGTTGTAAATGAGTGTAACAGTGAAATATTTAGCTTTTCGAAAAGTTTTATAATATTAGAGGTTAATGAAGTTATAGCTACAAGATTTGTACGATCCGTAGTTACCCATTGCTTATAGATAATAATATATTCGACATCACTTGAATATAATATTTCACTTATGGCCTTAAAAGATTCAGGGTATTGAGCACAATCACCAAAAAAGCAATTTGGTAATGTTGGATTACAAATTATTTTTGGCAATATATCCTTTTATATAATCTTAATTAAATTTTTTTTAAAGTAATTTTAGGCAAACTCCTCAGCATAAATTTTCCATCTGTGATATAGAATAAAATTTTAGATGCACCTTGAATAAATGATTTTTCACTATATCCCGAATGTTATTGGTAGACAGACGATTTAAATTATAAGCTTGCAGAGGGGAATTATCTAAGATTAATCTTAACAGGCAATTTAAGAATATTATGCAGAGAAAGATCGCTCGATTTGAACTGTTTATTTTGTAAAATAATATGCCTAATAATTCTTTTTTAATGCAGATGTTATATAATTTTATCGAGCTAATTAGTCATTCGTTATAGTAGCAAAGTAGATATATATATTTATAAAAGGTGTCTAAATAGAAGGCAAAAAAATTTTTTCTAAAACAAACTCCCTTTATTTTTTAAAATTACAGGTAAAACAATATAATTAAACCGGAAGTTAAAAACTCAATTTGGCGCCAAATTTTTTTACTTTTTGGGAGACTTTTAGAGATTCTTTTTATATGATATATAATTTTTTTTACTATAAATTTTTAAGATTATACAGATTCCAAAGTGCTCTTTCTTGCACCTATGAGCCCCTATATCTCGAGAACCAGGTGTGCTAGCGAGCTAAAGTAAACGGCTTTCTCATTTTTTATCTATCTAAATAATTCCAGAAAATTTTAGCAATTTTGAAAGGGTAAGTCGAAATGTGCATTTTTTGATCTATTTGACATGTAATGAATGGCCCATTTATATAGTATATTGATTTCAATTGATGGATTGTGAATATAAAGAATTGCTTCAATTTCGACGTCATTAGAACTCTGTAGACTCCAACTGTGGATGGAAATAAAAAAAATTTTTTTAGATGATATCCTGGGGATTATGCTTCTTAAGTTACTGCTGTTCTCATTAAAAGGTCTGATGTTATTTTATTTATAAAACGGGTGAGAGATCAGGTGGAAATTAAATATTTGATTTTTTTCCCAATATTTAAAGTAAAATGATGTCTTAATCTTTCTATTTGATTCCTTGTTTACCCTTAATTAACAAATACAATCAGGCTTTCCATTTTTATTTAAAGAGACTTTTTTCATTTAAAAAAAAAATCATAAAATATATTTTTTTTAAAGTAACGAAGAACAAACGTTGCATTACATAAGCAAATACCGGTAACTGGGCTCGTTACATTTTCAAAATAGAAGAAGAAATACAAGAGCGTTATGTAATGTAACGCTATTTATGACTTTTTGCCCCACCCTGTCTAGAAATTACTATAAATTTGGGCATTCATTTGTTTATTATCCATAAATTTATCTTAGTTCATATATAAAAAATTTTGATTTTTGAATAAACAAAACAAGCTCAACTTTTCAGCCCCTCATATAATGAGTACATTACCATACAATCCCGATTCGGATCTCCCCTACCGCTCCTCGAAGCATGAACATTTATTGTCCTACGGTGCTCTGTTGGCGTTATTGAAAGTCTGCCTCAAGGAAATAGAATACAATTTTCCTAGCAATCCTTTATGTATGTTTTTTTAAATTTTTAGATAAAAAATATGATCCTAATCTCATACCTAAATAAGAGTGATTTTAATTGGTGGAAGATTTATTTTAATTTTTTTTACATCTTAATGAGTATTCATTATTCTTTTCTTTACCCAATCTAAAAATAATATTTGAAAAACTTTAAAGTCTCACCTTCCAACAAAGGTAGCCTTTTGAAATCCGAAAATTATCAAACGACTACTTTATTCCGAAGAAGGTCTTCCCCCTTCAGTGAGAAGCGAAAGAGTTTATCGGAACAACCGGTGGATCCAAAAAATATCAAGGAAGCCAATAAAGGAAATACTCAAGCTGGTAGTTTCAATTTAAATAATGATAAATGTTTAGATGGTTTGACGCAAAGAGCCCTCTATAGGCTGGAAGGGAATGTTCATCGGTCACTAGAAATAGCCCTTTATATTTTGGTATCACAGGTAATACTATTTTTGCCATAATTTTTAAACATAACTAATTTTATGTATATAAGGATTTTTGCTCAGAATTAAGAATATCAGTAGTGTTTTATTTCGTTAAAGTATATGTAAAACGAGTAAATAATATGTAATTATATATATATCCAAATATTACTTTACGTTTGCTTATATAACAAGAAAAATAATTATTCAAAATACATATAAGATGGGGTGGGAGGTGAATTTAAAAAAGAAAGAGAAGACTCATTGAGATTCTAGGCAACTGGGATAGTTATCTCGGAACACAGTAATTTGTGTTAAAGGATTCACTATCCCAATTGATTTAAGAATTTTTTTTAACCTAAAATCTTTAAATAAAGTGACCTATGGGCTTAATGACCCATTAGTTGAAATAACTATTGGAATAAAATCTAATGTCATGGTATCTTTTCATATTTTTGTTCTTTCGGCTGTTATCTAAACCAAAAATATTTATAATGTTATATGGTATTTTCCCCATGGTAAAGTCCCAGGAGATTTGGATAGTTAGCGAGCCCTAATTTATTCTAAATTATAAAATTAATAGTTGTGGTATGAACCGCACTTTAGAATATAAAGAAGCTAATCTATATCTGCCCTTAAGATCTGGCTCTTTACCCCACCCTTTATATTTATAAGGAAGATACAGATCTCAGTCTAATATTTTATGATCACTATCAGCCCCTCATCTGATACTTGTTTGTTCGGAATTTGGGTAATATCATCGATTTAAAAAAATCATGTTTAACCTTGTCGTGAAGCTTATAATTTCCTGTTTCATTTGTTTTAAAATTTAAAAACAAAAAAAAATATCAGACTTAAATATACTCTGATCATTTTTTCCAATTATAATAATTATTTTATTTATCTTTCTATTGAAAATAGGTTCCGAATATTTTTTTTAAATGGGTTCCAAAAGTCGGACTCATTATTATAAAAAAATTTATATATTAAAATAATCTTTCATAAATGAATTACAAAAAGAGGTCCAACTTTATAGAAACAATATAATATAAATTAGTTGTACTTTTGTTATACATATTTAAAATAGATGTTCTGATTGCTAAAAGAATGAAGGAATTGACCCGGTTCTTGGTTCTAAACTGATTTATATAATCATAAAAAAAATTCTTTTGAAATCATCACTTTTTTTAAGTACAATAACTATTTTAAAAAATTACCAAAAAAAGTATATACTATTATTTAAGAATTGGCATATTTCTTTTAAGGTGAGTAACCTATCCCACATTGTATCCAATTAAAAAGTGTTAAAAGGCTATTTTAAGGATTGAAAAAAATAAAATATAAATAACAAAATATTACTTAAAAATTTAGCCATTTTTATTTTTAATGATCACTCACCCGAGAAAAGTAAAGTAATTAGATTTATTTCACCAGAAATACTCTTAAACTAATTATATATTTTTTAAATTAAATTAACTCATAATTTTGACGCTGTTTTTTCTTATATTATATATTAAAAAATAAATATTAAAAGGCTATTTTATATCTCAAAAACCCCCAACACAGTATTAACGAAAAAGCCTTCTTGAAACAAGAGTTATGCGCAGAGCTCAACGCTTTGTTCGATGCATACTCCTGGCCTTGCTATTACACTAACATTCGTAGGAAAAGAATGAACGAAAGTTTTGAAGATTCCTTTGAAATTGACCAAATGACTTCGAGCAATGGTAATACCGAGGAAGAATCTCTGAGATATTTCGAGCTTATGACAAATTTGATCCTTTACATACAAAACTGTTTGTGATAACATCTTTTTTATATTGGTGGTTGTTTAAAGATCATTCTCTTCCGTATATTATTATGTGCATGAAAGGATTCACTGCGATTATTTTTATTAGATTGAGTTATTTTATTAAGATTAGGTAAGGTAATTATATATAAATAATTGTATAATTACAATTGCGCGATAAATTTTTGAGGGCACGTTAGGATTTACATTTATAATTATTGGTTTTTATAGCGATAATATATATATATGTAAGGATTATATTTTAAAAAAAATTGCATTTTATACAAAAATATTTCCATTAAATTTAAAAAAAAACAATGAACAAAACTTCTTTAAAATACTCTATTTATTTCAAGGTTGTGCAATAATCTTGAATTTATTTTTAAAAATCAATCGTTTATTTAAAAATACGTTTTAATGAAATGCATTCATGATTAAATCTAATTTTGTTTTAAAACACAGCCTTTCCAATCAAATATATTCCTTTTTCAGATAGACGTTTTGTGGAAGGAATTTTTATTTCAATGACACACTTATTATTGTTACATCATCATAAGGTTTATCAGTATCTGGATCTGTGTTGGCATTATTAATTTTATTAACAACGTCCATTCCCCTTGTCACCAAACCAAATATCGTGTGCTTCTTATCCAACCATGACTATATTATATAAATATGTGTAAAATTAAATGCAAAACGAATGTAAAGATTCATAATAGATGTAATTAATATCTCATTGTATCGCATTTTTGTGATGATGCTGAATAAAACTTTTGGGTAATGTTGTTAAACGGCTCGATTTTTAAAAACGAACCCAATATTTTAACCAAAAATTATTATTTTTTTCATGGGTGGCAAGAAGGTTTGGATATATATTATATTTTGAGGCTTTCGTAATATTATTTTGACTAAAATCGGCTAAATCAAGCCGTTTAACAACATTACTTTTGAGTATAATATACATAAAATTATTTAATTTAATAAATAAATATTAAGAATTTTTTTCATAAGTCAACAGATCAAAAGAAGAAAATAAATTTAATATCATATTTTATTTATTTACAAAAATAAAGTTTCTTGTGGAAATTTTTTTAAAACTCTTATTCAATTTTTAACCTTTAGAACTGGGCCCAATTTGCTATATTCAATTTTTTATAAAAACTTTCACGTTTATTTTTTGAGACATTTTATTAATGTGTCTATAACTTAACAAAGAATACTAAATTAAATATTGTAGACTTTTGGAAGACATATTTATTATATAACTTTTTATAGTATGTATTGTATATTTTCTTAATAAAATTAATTCAGGGTGTTTCGGTATAAGTATTACAACAATTTCAAAACTCAGAAAAAACTTTATGGCATAAAACTAATATTTGAATATTCATCCAAGTAATTATAAAATCAATAATATAAACATCTTAGATGGCCTTCCCAAAACATAAACATGCCATTTTTCTACCTACCAACTAAATTCCAAATTGTAATTTGACAACCAACCCTCAAAATAAAACCTCTGGAGTTCGATAAACGTTTATCATATGTTTTTTTATTCTTTTTTAGGTATTAAAAGACCTCCCATACTTTTTCAAACTTTAAAAAAAATTTTAATTTTTTTTACTCATCTTATATTTGTTTTACAAATATTTTTTAAAACTCACACAAGGCACAACAGTGATAAAAAATTGGGATCCATTAGTGTTGGGCCCAGCGTTAGCCATACTCAACGTAAAGGGTTTATCGTGCCTAAGATGGGCAACTATTTCGTCTTCGAATTCGTGGCCCCATATTGATTCCCCGCCAGTTCCAGTGCCTATGCGTTACGCATATGATAAAATATTTAATATATAAAAGGTATAAAAAATTAAGTTTAAAAATTTCAAGATAATATTCTTCAATTACAAAATAATTCTTCACGAAGTACTGTAGCTTTTTAAAACTTAAATAAATAATTAGCAATTCAACTCTGCAATGCCATACAAGTTATTTTGTTAATGTCCTTCAGAAAATTGTAAAAAATATTATTATGATATAGAGAAACAGTTTAAATTAGATATATAATTTTAACATTAAAATAAGTTTTATCAAATCCCGAACCCTAGTGTTTCCAAAAATACCAAGTAAATTCCTACTAATTAATTGTGAACAATAATAAGGTGTAATAAATAAAGTATATTGATAAAGAAGAAATTTCAACTAATATTAATACGGGAATTTTATCTTTAAGGATACTAGAAAAAATTAAATCTTTGGGATTTCGAATATTATCCAACTAAAATCTAAAATGAAGCATTATATAGATCTGTAGAACAAACCTGTAGGGTCACCTGTTTGAATCATGAATCCCTTTATAACCCTATGGAAAATGTGGCCATTGAAATAACCATTCCGTGCATGAATGCAAAAATTTTGAACGGTTTTGGGGCAATCATTGGCATACAACTTGCAATGAATATCTCCCAAAGTTGTGTGGAGTACTGCGGAGGTAGAAAGTGATTCACCGTTACTGAGTGAGTTAATACCGCCAGAGGCCATTATTTCTGGAACTGGAAAGTATGAAAAATATAGGTCATAAGAAAGTAAATAAAATATGTGCGTGTAATTAGTAAAAGATATTATTACGTTGTCCGCTTATTTATATTAATTTAAACACTACAAATTTAACTTTATTAATATCTCCAAAAATATTATTTAAAAAAAATATTATAATTAAAGCGAAAAAAAAATCAACTAAAAATTACAATTTAGCTTCCCTTTTATAGAGAAGCAGTAATCATCACAAAATAATTAAAATTTCTCATATCATCTAACTTATTGACCAAGTGCAGAGCGCAGAACGGGAAGTGAAAAGAAGAAGAAAGTAATGTTCAAGGGAGGTCAGAGGGGGTGCTGGAGTTGCAGGTGGGACAAGAGGAATACAGGCAATTATTGGGGTCTCCGAGGACAGATAAAGGGGATATATGTCATAAGTGAGTCAATCTTTGAAGAGATGACGACGTCAATATGTATTCAATGATTTTAGAAACTAATGATGAGTAGTATTTATATATATATTTGCATTTTATTTTTAGATTATAATAATTAAATTTGGCTAAATCATTATGAACGTGTGTTTAAATTTTTTTTGATATGTTATTTTTAGATATATAAAAATCAGTTAGATGATATGAGAAATTTTAATTATTTTGTGATGATCATTGCTTCCTTATAATTTTTACAGTTGATTTTTTTTTCGCTTTAAAAATTATAATATTTTTGGAGATATTAATAAAGTTAAATTTGTAGTATCTAGTTAAATTTATAGTGTTTAAATTAATATAAATAAGTGGGCAACGTAATAGATATGTAATATAAAAGTAGGCCTTGGATCGATCTATCCGAAATCAACAGAATTTAGAACCATGTACTCAAATTGAGTGAGACCTTGATGTTAAGCTTTCTATTTGGATTGGAAACGACCTCCAGAAAAATTTCAAATTATTTTTGTCAAATACTTTATTTAGAATATCTTGTTTTTAAGGAAAAAAATTATTATTTACCACTAGCGCCTGTAATTTCTCTGCTTTCCTTGAAAAATCGTATTTCTTGATTTTTCATTTTTATATTTCCATAATTATTTGGGATAGGGCCAGATCTCAAAAATAAGTTCAGTGTAGGTAGTGAAGAAAAAATGTCTATTTGATCTATTTATTATTTTTGATAAGGGATGCGTCCCAAAGAGGCCCTATTTGTTTAAGCCTTCTCGCTTTGGAATTTATTTTAAAGTGGTTTTATAAACCCTATTTGTAGATAAGGTCGCCATATTTTAATTGTATAAGACAATTTTAATTAACCATCTAACCCTTTTAAGACCAACTTTTTTTAATAAGTAAAAAATTATTTTTTAAATAAATTCTTCATTTATATTAGAGACCAGCATGGTCGCTAGGCCCGGGTTGTGCCGGACCTTTTAATTTTTTTAAATATACCCAGGCCGGGTCCAAAATTTTTTTTAAATATAACTGGGCTGGGTCTAAAAAGGCCGTATATTTTAAAACCAAATATATTAAATCGCCATTAGCTATGAAAATTAAATATAAATTTTTGAAAAAAAATCTGGACTGGGCAGTACAAATGGTACCTTTGTAAGTCCCTGATTTAAATACTCCTTAGATGGAAAATTCCTAATTTAAATTTTATTTTACAGTGTATTTATAAAAACAATAATATTAATACAATTATAATATTTTCAAGATTTTTTTGTAATATTATATCTAATTTTATGACTGAGAACACTTTTATTTGATAGCAAGGGCAGTTGGCACCGTCAGATAGCAATATATAAAAATAATTACTGATATTTATAAGTCAAAACGATTATTAATCATCTTTAAAAGAGTTAAAACTTCAAAACGGGTGTTTTTAGAGATTCAAGTTCGGGTGACAAATTTTTTATTTAGGTTAAAATTAAAGGTTAATACAGGTTTAATGAATAGATTTGATTTTATTTATTAATTTTTATAGATGTAGAGCTCTCAACCTTTAAAAGTAGCCATAACTATTTTAGGTTAGTCCTTCTCTGTCAAAATTAATTAAAAATGTATATATCAAGGTGTTCTATCTCTATGTACCAAGACATAAGCATGTTTGAATAAATACCCTTACAGAAGTTTCGTTGCACTATATACTGATAAAAAGTAAGATTAATATAAAACTACACGAGTAAATCAAAAATATTTTCTTAAATTCAACCTGCCAACATATCCTCTTTAGTCGGTTTTTCGTTAAAAATGTCCCTCTCAATGCCCATAGTTATATCCTCGTTGGGCTCCCGATTCGAAAAAATGTAGAATCTATTTTTGCGGAAAGCAGTGGCAAAGATAACGGGATCATTTTTTCGGGGCTTTGATTCATCGGATAAGGCCTTATTAAAGAAATAAAAATAATTTAAAAAATATAATAATGGTAAAAAAACTGGACATAATTAGCAAGTTGTTAAAGTATCTAGTCTATATCTAAAATCTGTATCTTAGATAGATTTTTAGCCGTACGTCTACCTATTTATAAAAACATTATGATTAAATTAAATTTTACGTTTTTATAAAAATATTTAAATTTAATTCTATTATTTTTAACTACCTCTCCTTGTTTTTTTTACCAATATAATACAAGTTTTATTATACAGATTGAATCACGAAAATATGTGTCAAATAATATTCGTTTATTAATGTCATAAAATTTTAGACGGTAAATATTAGTGAAACTGTGATTTAAAAGAAACTAAAGAATTGATGCAGCTATTAGTTAATGAATTTTCAAAGTTCAAAGATACTGAAATCAAAATTTATATTATATATTTTTCAATATCACCCTCTCCCCCCTCATTCACCCCAAGAGAATATGGGTAAGGATATAAAATTTAATACGCTTATCAAATTTTAATATCCGATTGAAAATCAAATATTAGAACAAATAATGAATTGGACCGATTTGTTTATTTAGATATTTTATTGAGCATCCATGTTTTAAATATTTTAACACATTTCTGAAGTCTTGTACTCAAAGATTTAGTAGTGTTATACTTACCTTATCAGAAAAATTATGAATTAGACAAAACATTTTGCTTTAGATATTTTATTGAGAACCCGACTAAAAAAGTATTTTGGTATGCTAAAAGGAATGGTATAATGTTATAATTTATGAAAACTACATTAATAGATAATTTTTATTTATAGTAAATTCATGACTTATTTTTAAAAACGAATCTGTTCAATTCACAGTCTAATTACTTGTTTTCAATTTTGGGCATTAGGATCATTCCATGTCAAATGGACCAAAAAAAATATTTGGACTACCATCTCTAACATGAATGACACTTTGGAAGATAGTATAGTTATCTATGTGGTATATTTTAGCAAAATTAAAATTTTAGAGCACAAGATCAATCAGATCCAAAGATATACGCCTTCAAATTCGAAATTCATGCAATACATAAATTTTATTATCTTATTTTTTAAAATTATTTAAGATAGTTACAAATTATATATCATTTTATAGCCCTTAAAATTATACATTAGAAAATCTAATAAGAATCAGAGACCTGCAGGCCCGGCCCGTATTTTAAATTTTTTAAATATACCCGGGCCGGGCCGGGCCTAAATAATTTTTTTTAGACATATCCAGGCCGGCCTTAATATTTTTTATATAAATTTTTACATTATGAGTTAATGGTTATAAGATTATATTATATTATAGTTATGATTAATATAATATTGGGTGATGGTTAACACTACCTAACACCCATAGATCGATCTAATTAATAATTTCCTGCAAATTTATTCAAAGTATCAATATATTTTTTTATAATTCATATCTAAATTTTTACAACATATTTTACCAAAACAATCAAATAAAGGAATATCTTAAATTATATTTTTTTATAATTCATATCTAAATTTTTAGAATATATTTTACCAAAACAATCAAATAAAGGAATATCACTTCTTGAAGTTTGTAATACCTTTCAAAGCGAAAAAGGAGAAATTAAATTGATTTTACTTAATATAAAGCATTTTTTAATTGAAAAATTTGTTTTACACAAGTATCATTTTATTTCTCTTTTTCTCTGTCCCAAATTCAAGCAATTACGTATGTTGTCAGGGACAGATCGCAAGATGACGGAAAACTATATAAAAGATAATATTAAATTACAAGAAGCTCAGGAAGTAAATGAAATACCATCGACCAGTCAAATTACGACTGTTGTTAAACAAACTGAATCGTTTTATGACAAATGGGGCGATGGTAATTCTGGTAATATGTCAATACCCGATGATGAATATTATAATTACATAAATAAAAAAATAGATGAAACATTTAAGGTGGATAATTTGTTAGAGTGGTGGGCGGCTCATCAAAGCGAATTTCCAATTTTCGCAAAATTGGCAAAACGAGTATTGGCAATTCCTGCTTCAAGTGCAAGCTGTGAGCAGAATTTTTCCACTACTGGGAGAATTCTTGAAGAAAGAAGAAGTAATCTTCAACCTGAAAAGGTAGATATGCTTCTCTTTCTTCATCATAATTTGTGAATTTTTAATATCTTTCTTGAGTATAGGGTTTCGTCAATCATGCTGGTTTTTTACTTTGCAAACTGTCAAATATTTATTGCATTTATTATATTTACCTTGAGTCATGAAAGTTTTTAATCCAACATTTTTCATTATTTTTTTTTACAATATTATATAATACAATATCTTCTTTTGTTAAAAATTTATATTATAAAATAAATTATATTAATATTGTGCAATTAGATTATATAATCAAAATACTATTTATTATATATGCATTTTTTTAAATAGAGATTTATTTTTATTTTATAAATTAAATAGTAAATTAAATACAATATATTATATTCTCAAAATATTTTCCATTTTTATAAATTAAATATTAGTTTTATTTTTTTTAAATGCAATATAAAATATAGTATATGCTCAAAATATTATTACCATTTTTATGAATATTAGTTTTATTTTTATAAATGCAATATAAAATATAGTATATGCTCAAAATATCCATTTTTATAAATAACAGTTTTATAATTTTTATAAATTTAATAATATTCTCAAAATATTAGCTTTTTACATGTATTTTGTAAATAAAAGCGATCAAAAATATGGTAAAATACCTCATAGGTGAATTTTTGGTATATATCAGGTCGAATATAATTTTAAAAAATTCCGAGCCAGGCCTGAAATGTTTATTTTAAAAAATATCCGGGCCGGGCCTTAAATTTTTAAATCCGGGCCAGGCCGTAAAAATTTTTTTTAAAAAATATCCAGGCCGAACCGGGCCTTAAATTTTTAAATCCGGGCCGGGCCGTAAAAATTTTTTTTAAAAAATATCCGGGCCGAGCCTAAAAAATTTAAAACCGGGCCGGGCCGTGCAAATGGTGCCTCTGCAGGTCTCTGATAAGAATAAAAAAATTCCAAATGTTTTCTGATTTCCGGCAGCAATAAAATAATAACATTGTTATAAAGGGATTTTTGGGGGTATTGATAATCACTAGGAATGTTTATTATCTTCATATTTTAATGTTTAAGAGTCATTTTTCTTTTTTAATTTTATTTAAATAAAAAAATATGATATAGATAGAGTTATATTTAAAAATCATTTATAATATCATGTCTATTATAAAAATATATGGCATTAGTATTAAAAAAAAATGCATTGAGTATAACCGATAGGATTTCCTGGGACAATATGCAAGCAAGTAGCCCATACAGATATGATGATTATTGAGGCTATATTGGAAAATAAATCTACTGACCTTATTATTTGATGTCACTTGTGGGGTAAAATAAGAGTGTAATGATCTATTGGGATGTAAAAAAGAAATATATATATCCTCAGTAATTTCATTCTTTTTCATATTGTGGTAAACCATCAAAATTTGTCAAAAAAACATGTTTTGAAAAAAAAACCAGAAGGATTTTGGTCCTAAATAAAAATACCGATCACATGTATTTATGACGATTTTTGGTGGTTAGTCAAAGTTGAGGGATATTCATTTTATATTCCCATGGAGCATCATAATCCTTCTTTTACCCCACAACTGAGGAAAAGAGATGGCTGCCCATTAATCAAATATATTGTTATGAAAATTTAATAAAAAACTATTTTTATTTGTTTAAAAATTTATAAGAATATATATATGTGTTATTTATTGTAACAATTTATTGCAGCTCAAATAATTTCATATGCAATAAATTAAAAATATGGAAATGTTTTCCAAATCTGCAAAACACTGTAATAACAATAGTAGATCCCATAACAGTGATAGGACTTACTTAGAAATTATCGCCTCAGGAAATTCAATTAAAAAGCATAAAATGGAATACGATAAAAACAAGCGGTATTTTTTTTAATTAAAGTTTATATATAATTTTAAAATATATTTAGTTTACAATATAGCGTCCATCATATCTGCGTGGCTGCTTGCTTATATATCATCCCAGAGAAACATTTTAGTTATACTTAATAGATTTTTTTAAACAATACCATATATATTTTTATAAATTATAATATATTTATAATATTTTTTGAATATAGCGCCAATTATATTATATATTTTTATTTATAAAAATAAAAATTTAAATAAAATTTTAAAAAACTAAATGGCTATCGAAGTATTTGATTAAACAGTTAAATATGGAGGTAATGAACATTCCTAACGAATATCAATACCACAAAAAAATCCCTTCTCTACATTGTTAATTTTTTATATAGAAAATTAGAAAACACTAGGAACTATTTAATATTTTTTTGAATGATATATAATTTGTAAATTTATCTTAAGTATTTATTTAAAAAATAAGTTTTAATTAAATCACGCATTGCCAGATTTTTGACTTTGAATGTGTGTATCTTTGAATCTGGTTTAGCCAGCGCTAAAATTTTGATTTTAAAAATTTATAACATAAATAACTAATTCATTTTTGAGATGTTCGTCCGATACACTGATTGATTTGTAATGAAATTACCCATTATGCACATTTTATATGATCATGATAAAAAAAATATAACTTGGAAAATTTTGTATCTTATCTAGATACATTTAAAAAGTATTTTTAAATAACTCTGATAATTAATAATAAAGTTTTGAGCAGGTGAAAGTAAAATAAAAATATCTGGATTGGAGTTGTGATTTTAATTTATACAATAATAAAAGTTAAAAATTTTGTATACACTATAAATACTATAATTATCCATTTTAAAACTCTAATTAAATGAGAATAAAATAAGATTTATCGAGAAATGAATCTGTGGTAAAAAATTTTATGTCAACAAAGCAATAAAGAAAAAATTGACCTATTTTTGACAAAAAAAAGAAAAGAAAATCTGTAAAAAAAATGTAAGAATATAATAAACTAGTAATCTTCATATTTTAAAATCTGCCTTAATTCGAAAATAGACTAAGAGATTGATACTAATGGCTGGTAGGAATTCTTAGATATAAAGGATAATTAATAAATCAAGACATTGATTAAATTAAAACTTAAGATATCTCTATAATTAGTTCAAAAAATTAAAATACCTCAATCTCTAATGCCACAGGATCTGGCACACTGCTTTCCAGATATTTACTAGCACTAGCCCTACCCTGGAAAAGAGCTATGTTCAAAAACCGTAAGTTATCTTGCACACCAAGCATTCTCGAGCACTTGTTAGTTATCAAGTTGAGAATCCTGATTCCCAGGATAGTGGAATAGATGACAAAATTTCCGCTAGAATCAAAGACCAAATTGTTGGTACGTGGTAACATAATGGCTTCAAGATCGAGAGAATTATCATTATCGTTAGGAGTGTTATGTGAATAAGGGGAAAGAAGCTCTCTTTCTATAGCTAAACGCCGGTTGAGTTCAAGACTTGTTGTGCCTAGAGGTAATTCTTATGGGTTATCATTTATTTTGAAAATAATTTTTTATAAATAAAAAGTTGAAATTAAAGTGAGTAGAAAGAAAATCAAAACATTAATAAAAAATATTTTTAATAACTTTGATTGTTAGCTGCTTCACTAAGAGAACCCCTATCTTCTGAATAAACTCTCCACAGTTTTCCTGTGTCAAACCTAAAAATTCTAACTTTCTCTTCATTTAAGGAAACTAAGCCAAAAAGCTTTCCATCAGGCGAAAAGGATAGTTTAGAACTACATATACAAACTTTGGTATTGTTCGAATTGCAATATTTGGCCAATTCATAAAGGTCTGTATCTGTTTTGTGAGAAAAATGAAGAAAGTTTTTCTTGTTATTGGCAATCGGATCTATAAAGTCCTTTTTTGGGCCAGTCCAATATTCAATCATGCCTTTTATTTTAATAAAAAGAATAAATATGTCAGAACATTTTGGCTATAATGTTAATTCAAATTGTATAAAGTACCTGCATTGTCTATTGAGAGAGCAATTTCATATATAGGGTTAAACGATATATTAATAATAGGATTACGATGTAGATTTTCAAAAACATGTATAGGAACATTTTCGCCATAGCCATCATATATATAAATGTATGGCTTCAATGAATGAGAACTAAAAAACAGAAAATAAAAATCTTATTCATTTATATCTACACAGCAATTCCTTTCAAAGGATCATTTGCAATATATATCCACTCACATGTTATTGGTATATAATCAAATTTAAATATGTTAATCATATCAAAATTTATAACATCAAATATTTTCATAGCTTGATCTTCTGACACAGTAGCATATAAAGCCCCATCATAACTAACAGATACATCCAAAATACCACCTAATTAAAAAATAAATTCAATAAAATTAATAATATAAATTTACTCAAATGTGCTTTAAAATGTTTTACAAACTCAATTCCTTCTTCACCTTTTTTCCAAAATTTAATATGCCCATCTTGACTTGCAGTTATAATAAAGTCAGTTCTATAGATGCTCATTAATAAATACGTTTACATATTATATACAAAACTTTGTGACATTAATGTGTGTTACCACATCTCGATGCATATAACTAAGCTCATAACATTTGGCATTAGGTAATTCATTTAAATATAAAGATTCAAACTCCAATTCTATGAGAAGATTACAAAAGTACAATATATTATACTTTTTAGTTTTTTTGGTTGAGGAAATGTTGCCTCACACAATTGTGGCCCAATCTCTTCATCACTTTCTTCAGACATTATAGAAATTTGAATTTTTCTAACCGGTTCTTTAAGAGTGCCGTCATAATAAAAAAGAAGGCGCTTAAATTTATAACATAATAATGCCAAATATGATGGGCAGTGGCATCGCTAGGGGGGCGCAGGGGCTCGAGAAGTTTGAATAGCCCTCTGAAGCAAATTTTTTTTTTAATGGCTCCTTAAAATCCCTTTGAGCTAAAAATAAATGTTTTAAATTTCCCTCTGAATAATTTATTTTATAATTCTATTGAGTAATATATAGACTTAATTTTATAAAAAAATTAATAAGACTATCTTAATTTTTATTAAATGAATACTATTTTAATTATTAGATTAGATTATTACATATAAATTATACTATGTCAGCTTGCAATCAAATTTTGTTAAAAATATAACAATATCACTCACTAAATATTAATTTAACATTAACAGTTGAAGCTTAATGGACTTTTATAATTTAAATTATTATATAACCCTAATGAAATAAATATAATCATTTTTAATATTTTAGCCGAGTTCAAAATCACTAAACAACTATATTATTGATTTTTAAATTTAATTATCATGTCTCTTCCTAAAATATTTTCAAGGTCCAAAATAAATGCTTTTGATAATAAATATAAGTAACAATTTGCTTACAAATATTTAACGCCATCTATATATTTACAATATAATTAAAATTAAGCGTATTATTATTCATCCCATAATGGATGTAATAAATTAGATAGCTTTTCTTTTCATTTTTACGTGTTTTTAGGAAGCTATTTTTTTCTTCTTCGGAATTTAGATTTGATTTAAATTCTTAATACGAATATATTTTTAATATTATTACAAACTACAATTATTTTAAGATATAATATACCAACTTGAGATGGTGCGACAATAATATATAAAATCTTAATTGCTTTCATGATATCACTCTGGTTCTTATTTTGTAGTTACAAATTGTTTCATTTCTAATATGGCATTTTTGCCATTTAAATAACCCAAGGCTTCAATATATTTTCATAATTTCTTCTGGTTTTTAGTGTTTTTGTTTTATCATTTATTTAACAGAATAAATTCTGATATGGGTTACCATCGTGAGTGTCATGGCTAGGACTGCAAATTAACCAGCCTCTGTTATTTGTAAGGCTATGTAATTTAAGATTATTACTACAGCTGCTGAGAGCATATGATCGCATATTTTAGATAAGCAATAATGGTCAACTGTGTAGTCGTTTATATATCATTAAAAATAGAAGATAATGTTTTAGAAATTTAATATCCCACAATAATTTTCTCGATTACTTATCTAGCTTCCATAATGTTATCTAAGAGGAAGCTCTAACCACCATATAGTTTTATGATTTGGATTGGTCGTTTATATTCTTTTCTTCAAGAATTGTTGATTTTGTAAGGTCTATAAATTTTTTCTTATTAGTCCTTTCTATAAAACATTGTCTAAAATGGTAATAGAGAGTTATATTAGTTTCATGACCTTTTATCAATGTAAGTTGCTAATATTATATTATATTATGTAGTTTTCAAAAACCATTATCAATTGAGGCATATATATGAATTAATTAACATTTATAATTCTTTAGACTCAAAATTTTTTATATCAACAATCGAAAATATTTTATACTGTAATAAATAGATCTTGTATTAAAAAATATTATTTAGAAATGTCTTGTATTATTTTAATGATTTATATGTTAGTTTATTTTGCATGCAAAATAGAATAAATGACGTTCAGAATAATTATTTAGAGTTAGTAAATTTTTAATTGTGGGTATGGGGGGCTTTTTAATTGAGCCCCCTGAGATTGTAAAGGCTAGCGACGCCCCTGGAATGGGGATTAAAATAAGCAAATATATTTGATTTCTAGCTGTAAGAATAATCTAACTGAGTTTAAGATATGAACCTAGATTGATATATGGACAGTATTGGGTGACCAATAATTAGGCAACCTGTCCTTGACTACATATGGTGATCATCCGTTAGATTATAAGGGAGAGGCCTAAGTCAACGTTAAGATTGGATCACGGAGGACTCTACCTGTTATAATAATGAACACAACTGGGTAGCCTCCTTTTGAATTACCATGGATAATAGCATTCAAGGAATGCCTCGTCAAGTTATGATTAAACATGCTCAATTAGTCAACACTATTTGAAAAAGAAAAATGTTGCCTAATATTCGATTCTAATCTAGATTTGGTTAATAAACATTAACAATTTTTTATAAGATGGGAATATATGTGATTTTGCGGTGCGAATATTAAAAGATTCTAAGCATGGTTTGAAGATTCGAAATATTTATTTAGCTGACTTTCAATTATCCAAACCTATTCTATGAAAGAGTCATAAGCAAGATTTAATATTAAAAAAAATAGCAATGCACATTCAGGAAAATTGGCAAAACTTTTATCATCATAAAGATATAGAAATTGTTAATTTCTATTATAGACGGGAAGAGTTCGGTCGGTGATATTATAGAATAAAATGGGAGATTGGTTATTCCCAATAAATTAAGAACTGCAGTGTTAGGAACGATTTATTAGGGACATCCTGGGGAAAATATGAGGCCAGGTATTACCTTAGTCTATATATAGTCATAAAATATTTTTACAAGATAGGAGGTTAATTTTAATTAAAAAAATAAGCCTAGAACAAATATGAAATATATTTTTATTAGTTTATATTATATAAAATATAATAAATTAATTGTATATACATTAATATAAAAGCATAATAACAATTTATTCCAAACAAGTATAAGAAATTTATTTTAAAGCTAATAGACATATAGTTGATATTCCTCTATTAAATAGAATTAGTTACAAAATACTAAGTAAAATTCCACTTTTACAGTTGACAATTATAGAATAAATTGCAGTTAATATTTTAACAAATTTTACTAATCAATGCTCTTGATAATAAGCAACAATAACACCAGGACTTTTTAGATCAATCCGAAAGTCTCCTGATGGAATCAACCTGATCCCATGGAAACCAATTTGGGACTATTCTTGTATAGAATCATTAGGTATATCCAATCAAACTCTAGCAAAAAGAACAGCTAAAAATTTCCAAATATTCATAAATTTAAGAAGATCACATTATTCCATTAATATCAATGACCTTAACTTCCTTTGGTAATCTTGCATTGTCCTTCTTAAGATTTTGGATTTCACAGCTGCAAGCTTACTGGCGATCCTGAGAATATTTCTTACTAAGACAAAGGCTGGCTGTAGATATTTTTAAAATGAATAATCATTGCTTCAAGGTCTTCTCTCCACAAATCTTTATTAGACTTACTCTTCCTTCCTTTCATTTTTATTATTTTTAATTTTGGTTTGTGTTTGTATATAAGCAATTGTGATTTATTATGAAATTAGTCGAGCGTAAAGAGTTTATTATTAATTAGCAGAGTTATTTAGTAATAAATGATTTATTAAGTGGTTAGCCGAGTGACGTTTCCTAGCCAATCGATACTTAGTAAATCGTTTGTGGTATGGATAACCGAGCGATATTTAGTAATAAATAATTTATTATCTATTTGGCTGAGCAATATTTACAGCCGTGCAATAAATAGACCCAGCGCAATTTTTTAATGTCTTTACTTGTTCTTGTCTTCGAGAAAAATTAATTTGAAGTGATGAAAAAAATTATTAGAAAGATTGAAATGCCATATAAAGGTTTAAAATAAGAAGAAAATATTTTAATCTTAGTACAATTTAGGGTTCCTTGTAGATGTATAAATCAATTTTAAAAAAGTCGAAGAATACTCGATATGGATGTCGTAGCTTAGAAAACATATATAGACAAATTGTTGGTTTAATTATAAGGCATAATTTGCTATATGTAAGCATATTGTAATCGATGGTCCCTATAACCACGTTTTTATTAAAATTCTTACTGTTGCCCCTCCTATTAAAATTATCATACAGACATCGTGACTTCTAATTGATTAATTTTTTGCCTTTATATTGCCTTAATGAGCAGCTTATATATATACTATAGTCGATGGTGGATGCTCTGTAAGAAATAAAAAGATGTGAGTAGTGAACCGAGTTCATATATTAAGAATTTGATTATTGATAAGTTTTCCAAATATTTTGTCTAGCCAAATTATTTATTCTGAATTTTTTTTAAGATTTGAAATCTCTGTTTGAGCAGTGTCACTAATATCGCATGTTCAAAATATTTTAGATATAATTTTATTAAAGTAAATATTAAATAACATATTAAATAACATATATTGACAAAACGGTAAATAGTGAATTTCATTAGTTTATATCTGGAATAAAAAACAAACAATTTTTAAAAAAAATTAAGTAAATATTAAAATTATATCCGCAATATATGAAAGGTATAATAAATATAAATAGAATTTATATGCCAAATTTATAATCAAATTCAATATAAAAACATTAAATAAAATTTTTCTTTTCTCAAAAAATTTATTGTTAAATGAACGGAATTCTAATTACAAATTACCAGAAAATTTTCATAATAAAGTTAGTTTTAATATATATATATATAAACCCTCCTCCTCAATTAAAAAAAATTAATATCATGTTATGAGGTTTTCTATAACTTAAAAGCAGTATATCAGAGCAAATTGACAGCCAAATTATTTATGAAAAAACGTATATATTTAGATTTTCAGATGGATAGTATTTTGTAGTTTAATTCGAATTTTTTTTATGTTATAATTCTTTTATATGTCTAAAGTATAATTATACATGTTTTAAAATAAAAGAATAATATGATATAATATTCCTTTTTTGATTTTTGGTCTATCTACCTCTATTCCAATAATATTCTTTCCTGCAATGCCCAAACCAAACATTATCTTTTAATTATACCTTGATTGATATTTTCTAGCTAATTTCGATTTATCTTCAATTCAAACTTTATACACAAGAATAATTGAATTATTTTATCTTGGAATTGTAAATATAGACTATTTATTATGATAGCAGAATCATTACAAAATCAAAAAATCACTTTTAAAAATAATTATAACTAATATATAATTATAAACATCATTTATTACCTCTAAAGGATTGTCAGAATTATCGATTACAACTTTAAATAAATTGCCTTATCTAGACGGGCCACAAATTTTGATTTTCTGGCCTTACTGGTAAATTTCGCGAGAAGGAAAGACGCAGATTCGTCGGATTCCCCCAAAAAATGAATATTAAAAAAAAAGGTGTACCGAGATAGCTTAAATTAGTTATAAATGAATCAAAACAGTCGATAAATGAATATGAAAAAATAAAATAAAATTTTTTAATCAATAAATCAGCGAAAATAAGTTTATTTGATAAGCTGCTCTGTTTTAAAAACATATTTTACTATTTTTCAAAATACCTGCAAACATTTGTTATTCATTCAAATATTTCAATCCCACAATATATAATATAGTATATCTAATATTTTGCCTAATGTTATACTCGAGATTAAAAAAAAAATTAGAAGCGAAATATGATTCTTATTTATATAAATGTGAAAATATTAAATTTTTCGAAATAATCTTGTTAATAAAACCAATGTTATTCTGTTCTGTTAATATTAGTATAAAAAGGTAAAATTTAATATAATTTTAAATAAATTATTTCTAGACAATCTTTAAAAAAATATTTCAAGTAAAATGTTTATTAGTTTGGTTGAAAAAAGGGTGATGAATTTTGATTATTTTTTATTTTTTTTTAATTTAACAATATGGGCTTACATTATATATTCTTTTTCTTTTCAAGATTCTATTATGATTCATTAAAGAATGGTCAGAAACATTCACATCTGACTAATCCTTCTCCAATTCTTTCATTTTTTTTACCAGTCTTCATCTTCACTTTCTATTTATCTTAAGTCCCTACCTTTTTCATGGTCTTCTTTCCATATGTCATAATCTATTTCTCTAAGGATTTCTTTTCGTGTTCGATACTCTTATATTTTATGGATTATCGTTTTTTTTTTAAATTATGATATTCCTTTTAGATTTGTTCAATATACATCATTTATTCTTAGCATTATCCTTTCTATCATAATCCCCTTTTACATATAAATTTTTAATATAATTTAAATTCCTATTTAATTTCTTCTCAAGCATTCTGGTGTTTTTTAATTTTACATATTTTCTAAAATAACCGGTTAGCTCTAACCACAAGTAAATAAGCAATAAATAATTTAAAATAAGGTATAAAATCGTAAAAGAGCTCTAGCCCAAATTACACATTTATTCTTATAATTTTTATAACCCAAATTTAAAATAGATTATTAAATTTTTTATAATATATATAATCTTTGAATCTCAATGATATAATCTTTTTACCTTTAAAAAAAATTATTTCCGCTCTTGGTAACCTTAAAAAAATTTAACTTAATTTTCATAGTAAGCTCATTAGCGATATTTCTATAAATATATATTATCAGTACATTTTTCTTATATTATAATATTTATTTAATTTATATTAAATTTTATTTCACTAATAAATGAAAATTTTATTTAATTCTAAATATAATTCTTACACTTTTGAGGTTACTTGACGAAAATGGCACATCCCATAGTTAATCACATTTGAGGCCCTAAGTTTTATTATTTTTGTTTAAGAATATAATTATGCGTATTAGTTTATTTTTGAATTAATTCTATTCAGAATTCTTAAAAAAATGTAAGTCGCAGCCTTGTTTAAGCAATATCATTTAGCAATATTTTAATAATTTTTCTCTATTAAATAAATTTAAAATTCCTTTATACTATTGTATAAATAAAATAAATTTAATAGACCATTATAAAATGGAGTTCAATTAAGTGTTATAAAGCTCAATACAATAGTCAGTCTAGGCTATATTGCTATTTTTGTTTTTAGCATAACCTACCAAATAAGAGATCTTTAAAATAATTTCAAGGTTAAATTTAACTTTGTTATTCATTCGTAGTTAAGATATTACGGGAATTTAAAAAAACCAGCACCATGTATCTTGTATGCCGTTAAGATAACTTTAAATGTGGAGACGAATAAAAGGTTAAGAAAAAATCAGGAATTATGTGTATTAATGTTAAAATACTTTCCCAAAAAGGTTCTACGAGAAGAGGTGCAAATAAGAGATTATCTTAAAGTGGATAAGTTATATTATCTAGATTCGATTTTATATCAGGATGGGGATTCAGAAAAGATATCAGTGCAAGGATCCAGAGAGTCAAATTTGGTGGATAAATATCGGCCATATCTTATAAGAAACGAGAGAAATATCCTTAGCAAGGTCCTGTTTGAGATCGTAGAAAAACTTGAACAAGACGCCTTAAATTTGAAAGAATAAATGAAAAAAACGTATTAGATAAGGAGATGGGATTAAAAATACTCAAGCCTGCGCACCATGGAGGAATAAGATCAGGAAACAAAACATATAATTTTTAGGACCATTGATTAAATAACGAATAAATAAGAAAAAATGAGCTGATAGATTGCACATGTATTCATAATTTTACCGGATAGAGAGATTTATAAAATGGCATCTCGTTATAGATATAATATATTTAAAAAATTTTAAGCACTTATTTACAATGCATATTGTATTTATTTTCGTCGCAATTTTTAATAATTTTAAGGTTATTTCAAATTGATTTTTTCCCTCTAAGTGAATGAATTTCCCAAGAGATTCCATATCTTTTTTAAAAAAAATTGCAGACAGGGAAGCTCAATATTCCTATTTTATTTGTGTTTTCTGTTCTAAAATCATTTGTACAAATTTCATTAATATAATTTCCCATTAAAAAAAATTATAAATAAAAGATTAAAAACGAAAGATATTTGATTATAGTAAAGGGATAACGTAGGCCAAATAAACAAATTTTTTATACTTCTTAATATAATATTTTTAAACAATCATTTGAAAGTAAAATTTATTGGATGAATAAATGTTTTAACTTAAAGAATAAAGATCCAACATTTATATAATCTCAATAACGGTTTATAGATTATGCAATTTTTAGTCATTTTAACAAACTAGCGAATGTGGGACTCCACTTTGTCTAGTGGCACTATATATCTTAAAATTTTTAAAATTCTTTTTTTAGTTTTACATTAATTTTTGTTAGGTTTAAACATTATATAGAAAACGAATCGTTTTTTATACTAAAAAAGTTATGAAACTTTTATCAATAGCATTTGTATAATTATAAGATCAGAAAAAATGTGCAAGAATGGCCTTTGAAAAAAATGTTTAATTAAATCACATTTTTTTTTGCCTTAAAATTAATATTTTAAGAGTTGACATTACATCTAACAGTATTTGTGGTAGATTGATATAAGGCCAATTAACCTTAAATTTTGGGTGAATTATTTCAGCTAATATGATACTGCCCCACAGTGAAGGAAATCAAAATTTTAAGAAATTATAATTAACATTATTATACGGAGGAGGAATAGGTAAAAGATTCTCAACCTCAATAACTGTATATGTTTTTTTTTCTAGATCTATAATAAACATTTGTAAATATCGGAAGATAATTTATTTTATTTTTAATTTAAAAAAAAACTTGACGGTTGTAATTCGAAAATGTTGACTTGATAAAATTTATGAAAAAATATAAAATATAACGGAAGATACTAAAATTGTTGGGTTTTTAAAATTAATATTTTATTAAATTTTTTTTTTATTTATATATTTTTTAAGTAAAAAATACTTATTTGGTCATAAAAGTAAAATGAAACATGAAAAAAAAACATAAATAGCTACAAATTGTGTGTGATATAGTATAATATAACTTTTTAGTAACATAAAATTCTTTTTCAAAATCTTGGTTACTTGTTTAGATAGAAGAGCACTATACTTTTGAAAAAAATTACCATGATTTTAAAAAGGACTAATAAATTAAATATATTTTGGTTTTACGAGACAAATAAAGTTCTAATAAGTTTAAAGACATTTATTCATCATAGTTTTATTCAACTTCATTAATAAGTATATCATAATTAATTATACATAATTTAAAACGCTAAATATTTTATTATTACAAGACCTTGAAATATATGTTTTGATTATTGATGACATATTAAAATATTTAAAATGTAATGAAATGACAAAATATGTGAAATTTCAAATAAATTACTCAAAGGCACCAAACTTAAAAAACAATGCATTCATCTTGTAATACTTTTAATTTGCCAGTTAATTTCAAAGTTTTCTTAAATTTATTATATTGATGTAATGAAACTTTGAATTTCAATGTTATATCTTCTTTCTATATATGAAAAATATAATTTTAAATGTGATAAGTCATAAATTTTAATGTACGAAGCATTGGCGTACGCCCCCCCCCCCAAGCCAAAAAATGCACATGCCGGATATATTTTTCAAAAATATTAATGTTTATTTTATATTAATTTATATTTGTTAATATTTATTCGTATCATTAAATATATATTTAATTACATTTATTATCACATTCATAAGTTATTTTATCAATTAATTTCGATTTCAAGTTTTCCGGCGTAATATTTACTTATTATTTTCAAATTTTTAGTGACGTAATATTTATCTACCATTTTCAAATTTCTAGTCAAATAATAATTATTTCTGAAACTTCTGGTCCAACAGGGAGAAATTGCAACCTTGTCCAACTAGATAGAGTCTCTGCCATCAAGTAGTAACAGCTTTTAAGGAGTTAGAAGATCCAATTATTTGCTATTACTGAAATATCACAATAACCTGAAAGAAAAATTTCCTCAGAAGCAAGAAAATTATTGGATTCAATGCTTATTCCAAATTTTATTTCTCATTAGAATGTTTTATTTAATTATACAACTATTTTAAGTATTACTTTTCAAAAACAAGACATTGACTTGATTAAGAAGATGATAATAGCGGGAAGAATTTTATTAAAACTCAAGAGAATTAGAGCTATTGTTGATGAAAAATTTCATTTTTATATGTTATTGTTGAGTCAAAAGCAAAGCTATAAGTGTTTAATATTTGTCTCCCTCGACTTGTAGCAAGGCAAGCTCATCGTTAAAACATTAATATAGGATCAGTAGAAGAGTATATCTTAGATACAGATACATTTATAACCCAAATAAATGATGCAGCACTTACTAATCTCCAAATATTACTTCCACAAAAGCCTTCCCAACCTCTTTCAGATGTTGATAGAAAAAAAAATATTTGTTAGATTTTTATTATTAAGATGTTAAAGTATCTTATGATGCCTTACTAGCTGAATAACTATGTTTATAAGATTAACTATGGTTGATATAGTCCCAAAAAATGCTATGGATGCTCTGCATTATTTCAAACACATTTTAGATTATATTCCCAATTATAAACTCTTCCCATTAGTGAACTAACGAGAGAACATTCTCTTTTTTAAGAAGAATAACAGAGGCCTGAGGGCACAGCCCGGTTTTTTTTAAGATTTTTTATGGCCCGGCCTGGGTTTTTTTTAAAAATTTTCAGGCCCGGCCCGGCTTTTTTAAAAAAAATTTTTAGGCCCGGCTCGGCTTTTTTTAAAAAATTTTCAGTCCGGCCCGGCTTTTTTTAAAATAAAATTTTCAGGCCCGGCCCTGGTTTTTTTAAAATAAATTATATTTATTTTTGATTTTTATAGCTAATAATAACAATTTCAAATATAGCTGTTTTAAAAAATACAGCCCGGCCTGGGTGTTTTTTTAAAAATAATTCAGGCCCGACCGGGGTGTTTTTTTAAAAAAATTTCGGACCCGGCCCGGGTATATTTAAAAAATTAAAATACTGTCCGGCCCAGGGGCCGGGCCTGCAGGTCTCTGAAAAACATACCAAGAAGTACAACATCTGAAAGTAGATTGAAAGGTTTGGATCTTTTGAATATTCATAGGCATTTGACGACAAGCAAGGATGAGATAATTGAAAAATTAACTCAATCCCAACGAAGATTGGATTTTACATTGTAAATATATAACATACAAAATACAATTATTACTAAGAAACTTTTTGTGTAAAGGCTCAAAAAATTCAAATTTCTATTTTGGGTCATTTAAGTGATTCTTTTTTTATAATTCACATTAATTTAAAATTGTGTATAGGAATAGTTATTAGTCCTAATAAATTTATGCTTGATATTTTTAAAAAACAATAATATTTCTTAAAAAATTTTGTTATCCCCCCCCCCCCCTCAGACCGAATTCCTGCGTACGCGCCTGGTACGAATTTATAAAAATGAGAAAATACTCATGCTTGATGTTCAGCAAGGTTATTAATCTTGAAATCGAATCAAATTAAAATTGTATAGAATAAACTCTGCTATTCAAGATAAGCATATTTCGTTCTTATTCTTATTTGGAAACAGCAGTATTCTTTTTTTTATTACTTAATAGCATATCATATTTTTATTTGATTTTATCTAGATAAATTAAAATTTGCTAGTTGAAAACGATTCATATTTAATTTTTTTTAAAATTTCATTTAATTTAGCTCGCTGCATTTTTGGTTGAGTCTAATTTAGAAAAATCTATTAATTAGAACTAATAAAGGCGGGATCATTCTTTTTTGGCGGTTAGGGTTATAAATAATTCATGCTCTCTTAAAAAATAATATTGATATATTAATTATATACACCAATTAGGTGAATTTTTTTACTACATCTATTGGCAGTGCTCAAGATTTTTTAAAATATTTTAACACATTTAAAAACTTACTCTGTAATTTTGTTTTGGAAAAAAAATCATAAGTTGGGACCAGGGTTAATGCAATTTTTGTCAATATCATCATAGATCTGAAAATAATTGTTTTTGAATTTACAAAATACCATAAAATAGTTTAAACATCTACCTTACCTTATACATTGATAAATTTTCATATATTTTATACTTTTTCTCAAGATTGAAACTAGTAAAAGTGAATTTTCACCAACAAGCCCCAACCCTGGGGCTTGTATTTTATTAAATCTCCTATAGGATAATTAATATTATTATTCCATTAATTTTATGGTGCATGTTTCAGTGATATAAATATTAAAGATCTGCAAAGCTTCGGGCCGGGCTCGGGCTTAATTCTATTTAAAATAATCGGGTTCAGGCCGGGCCTAATATCTTAATAAAAAATTCAGGCCAGGTCTGGTCGGACCTTGGAAATTTTTTAAATATATCTAAATTTATCAATTTTATATTGAATTTTTTATTGAATTTTTTATTTAAAAATAAAAATATTTGATTTTAGTTATTGAAAAACGACATATAACATATGTCTTTTATTTTGAGTAATTATAAAAATTAATTTCTATATTTTAATAAATTCGGGCCGGGCCGGGCCGGATCGGTAAATTTTTTAAAAAATTTTAGATTCGGGCCGGCAAAACTTCTTTAAAAAATTTTGGGTTCGGGCCGGGCCGACAAAACTTTTTTAAAAAAATTTCGGGCCGGGCCGGCCTTGAAGAATTAGGCCCGATGCAGATCACTAATAAATATACCACATGAAAATAATTCATATAAAAATGATAAAATATGATAATATTTGAATTATAAAAGATGTGTAAAATTGTTAATAAATTTTTTTTATTTTTCCCAAATTCTATTGTATTATTATATAGAATTGATTTAAATAAATAATAGTGGCCAATGAATACTTTTATTATAATGTGATCTATAATATATCATATTTGTAAGCATAATTTGATTGATCCGATTAGCCCTAATTCTAATAGCCCCTAGCTAGTATAATTAATATCTTTTAAAAATATATTTAAACATGATATATGATTATGAAACTTTATGATTATAACTTTCTGAAATGTCAAAAGAGGGTTTTAAAATTAATATAATTGTCATTTTATTATTTTTGAACCCTTCATATTTTAATGCAACCCTATATTGTGTTGTAAAAACATTTTGATTTTTACCTAACATAAAAAAATTTAAATAATTAAGGAGTACAAAGTATTTTCCTCAGATATTCATATTACAAAGCCATTCCATAATTAAATTTGAATTTCTAAACATGTATGGTTTTTAAATAAAATTCGCTGAACTGGCAAGTCCCTTGCGTCGTCGAGCCCTGGCCTCCCCTAGTGTTGCTAAACGGCTTTTTATAACCCAATAAACGGTTAAATCAATATTTTATCCAGATATAGTATTATGAAAACCTTAAGATTTTGTTCATAGATGGCACAAAAGTGAACACATCTATTAGCAAAATCTCGAGGCTTAAATATTTTCTGACCAAAATAGTGAGTTAGCCGTTTTTAAAAATTGGCACAAATCGAGCTCTTTAACAACACTAACCATAAGAATATTATCGATTCAATTATGATTTCTTCTTCTAAATCGCTATCATCAATTCTTTCACCCATTTCACAGACATATTTTAAATTATTTTTGATAGATTTATAGTACAAAAAAAATGAATTAATATAGTATAATGAATTGAAAAAGTCCGTTCGGAAGGGTGCGGATGCAGCTCCCTTCCTGTCCCAGTCCATCCTTGCTAGATAACGATTCGCCTCTCCTAATCTATCCCAAGGACCGCTATATGATCAAAAAAGACTGAAAAACTGATTTTTTAAATTATATATTTAATTGGCAAATTATATTAAAATTTAAAATTTCATATTTTAATATAATGGAAATAAAAAAAACTACAAGAAAATTATTTTACTTCTTTTTTTTATCAATCCATGATAACTATGCATTCATAGAAATTTTTTTATTTTTATTTTTATTTAATATTTCGTTTTTTTTTTATACACTGTATTTTTTAAATTTGAATATAGTTTTTATATTATATTATGTAATTTTATAAATAATTCACATGTTTTTATAAGAAAATTTAAGATGATTAAATCAAGATATATTTATTTATAATTTTCTAAATTAGCCTTTAATAATGATAAATAGTTTTTTCAAAATTAATGTCATTTAAACGCCAAACACCTTTCAACAAAATATTTGCCCTACTTATCAACTCGTTAAGATCGTTTACTTCTAAATATGTTCTTATCGCGAAAAAAAGAATTTATGCTTGATTAATTTGGGTTAGAGTTGAATCACGATCCACTTATAAAATGAAAGCACTCACCACCTCTATCATCTGTATGAATTTTTTTTCTTCGATATAGCATATTTTATCACGACTAGGGCCAGGGTAATATCATACTTTTTTTATACAATATTTATCATTTATTTTATTAGATCATAAAAATTTAGATTTTTAGTGTTTCCCGTAATCTTTATTAATAAAAGGGTATTTTATTATTAAATAAATTATTCTTTATATAATCTCTTGTATTGTCCTATGTACCCCATTAATTGATCCAATGTACCCTAAATCAAAATAAATTAAATACTTAAAAGATCAATTACATACATTTGATACATAATTAAGTATAATACCTGTTTGAGATATCTGCCATTGTTTCTTATTAATATTTATAGACCTTTTAAAAGTTTTTACAAAATCCAGTCCTATATGCCCTAGTTTTTCCTCCTCAAGGTGGGTAAAACACCTTATTATATCGTAATAAATTTATACTTTTTACTTTTCATGATGATTTCTATTTTTATTTGCTTCTGAAGAGTTATCATCTTTGTAAATTTTCTTCATTTTTATATAGTTATTCTAGATTGTTAGTTACTTCTCCAACTTTCGTGTTGTAATTTATGAAATCAAGCGAAACCGTTCAAAAACAAATTAATTATATTTTCTATAATTATCATTTTTTAAAATTTTAAATTAATTAGAAAATGGTATTTTAAACAAAAAAAATATTTCGCTACAATTGCATAAAGAGACACTTCAAAGTTTCATGCATAAAGCTATGTCGCTAGTGTAACTGTCCCTATTCAATAAATTAAATGATATTTAGGCCCATTCACTACGTTCTTTTTTAATTGAGTAGGGTGAAAGTGGTTTAAGCAATGAAGATTATACTTTATGGGATGGATTAAATAAATTAAACAAATAATATAATATTAATATAGACCTCACTGAAAATATTTTGAATTACCTTTAAACGGATTTAATTTATGCGAAAGTTTATATTTTTAAAGTTATTTTCACTTTTTGATGCTGTTCCTTTGAAAAAAAATTAAATCACATTGCAACTTATAATAAATTTTATAAATTAAGATAGAATACGAATGGCAACGGTTTAATAAAAGTTATAATGGCTGAACCCGGGATGTCGCAATCGCTAATTATTCTGTCAATTGTCGCGTTTTACAACATTATTCCACACCTTAACGGATATGTGTTCGATAGAAATCCGCGGAATACCAAATATGTATTTTTTTTAAACTTATACTTTAAACTATCAATATCATGATAGTCATAGGCTTGTTATAGAATTTTACTTTACTGTATTTAATGCAAAAAAACAAATTATTACAATTTTGATAAAGGGTTTAAACAATTTATAACTGGAATTTCAAATATTTTTTATAGAAGCCCTCCAAAAATCAATTCAGACCTTGGCCTTATCCGGCATTTATCAAAAACTATTCTGATAATGAGCTTTTAACTATATATCCATCCAAATTGGAAATTTTGACCAACATTAAATGCGACATCATGGAAAATGCCATCGAAAGGTATAATAACCAGCATAAAATTAATTTTTAAGATGTTAAATATTTAAGAATTTTTTAATAATGTATATGACTGATTTTTTTTTTATTAAAAAATTTAAAAGTGTAAATATTAAGAATTAATTTTCGTGTTTTACACAGAATCCCTATAATAAAATTTTAATGTTTCTTATAAATTTGCCAAATTTTTTTACAAGGTTTAAAAGAGTTATCATTTTCTAAATCAATTTAATTTACTTATATAGGAAAAACACAATAGAATATAACATTTCTTAGAAAAACTCAAGTCCAATAAAATGAGTTTCTTAAGTTTCCTTTTATCAAATCAAATAGTAAAAATAAGAAATTTATTATAAATAAATGGACAAGTCTAATGAAATTTACTATTCAATAAAACATGTTGTATATATTGATTTAGATCGCCGGAGTATGGTTAGGGGAGCGAATACAGTGTACTCGGATTTATATTTGAGCCCACTTTTAATATATTCTTTTTAGGCAAAACCTTTATTTTTAGCATGCCTAAATTAATAAAATTGAAAGAGCAACTATTTAAATATAATCTTTGTGGAATAAAAATAGTAATTTTTTTAATACTGATACCAGGACAATTTATTTTTGTAAAAATAAAAATTATCTTTTAAAAAAAACCAAAATTATATTAAAATTATTTTTCCCAATTATTATAATAATTTATTTTGAAATATACGCCATCTAGCGGAAATGTATTTAAATAAAACTCATTAAAATATATTTAACGAATAAAAAAAATTAATTACTCAAATAAATTATTAAATAAGAATAAATAAATAAAAAATAATTAAAATATAATTTTGGGTTTAACAAAGGATAATATTGGCATACATCTTTGTGTTTAGCTTATTTAAAATAAAATGATGAAGAAAGAAAGTCTGGCTCTGGTGAAACAATTGTAAGGTTAACCTTAGTAAGGGTAGAAAAATGAAATTACTTGAAAAATAAAATAATGGCATGTGTTTCCATCAGTGATTTAAATGTTTAAAATGTTTTCTAATCCACAGTTTTTTAATTTCGGCAGCGCCCGCAGAAATTTTCCCAAGAGAGGACAATTTTTTTAAAATGTAATGTGATAAAATTTACACAATTTATTAAGTTTTTACTGCTTTTATTAAAAATTGGCATTTAAATTAAAATAAACATTTTAAGATCAATGGATATAAATATACTCATAATAATTTAAATTGAAATAAAACATAAAAATTAAAAATCAGTATCATCCTAAAAATATGGCGAAAATATGATAGATTTACAAAATGCTAATTGTAATGTAATCTCCCTTGACTTTTGATAAGTTATCGAAATAATTTCTAAACAAAATTTATATATTTCTATGATTCGATTGCGATGGATATTTAATATGCACACTGAAGTGACCCTATTATCCCACATTTTTGACTGAAGATGTTTTTAAAACTTTACAGCTCCTCACTAAAAATAGACCACTGCCTTTTAAGCTCACCCTATTTGTAAGTCGCTAATTTCTCTGCTCTTAAAGATTTATTGCAAATAACCATTTCCATCACACCAAAATCTCAAATTAACACCAAAACTAAATCCCAATTAATCACTTATATACCCATTCAGATCATACTAACCATAACTCCCTCTCCACAAGGTAGTCTAGGCACCTTGAATAGATTATAACAAAATGTAGCCAACTGGGGGGGGGAATACTGGATAAAATTAAATTTCTCCTACCAAAGATCATTCTGATGAAGGATTATACAGTCTTTTCTCTCTAGCACTTTTTCCACCTATTTTTCTGCAACAAACACGCCAACACTAATAAACATCATCAACACAAAATCTTATATTTTTTTTTCTTTCCGAGCATTCCTGCTCATTATATTTTCATCTGGTCTCTTATGTACATCATGCATCTAATCTCCTTCAATACAGCTTATCCACTACTTCTCCCGCTCTTCCCGTTATGCTCCTTTGAAACATGTTGTAACTTTTACTTCATTGCTACTAGAAAGATTTCTAAACAAATTTAGTGAGCCTTTTTAAGTCACTTTTGTGAAGTATAATTAGATCAGGTTCCCTATCTTTTTTTTTTGTTTTAGGAAAAGAATGCCCGGGGAAAACTTTAGTCTGTACCTCACCCATATTTTGTTTATTCCTATAAGTTTGGGAACAATTTTTTAATCATTAGATTTCCAACCAACGTTTCAAAGTGATTATTACCCTTTTAATGAGATGGTAATCATATTCTATCCCAGACCAGAGGGTAATCATATTCTATCCCAGACCAGAGGGTAATCATATTCTATCCCAGACCAGAGGGTAATCATATTATATCTCAGATCATGGCACCTTTTAAGCCTTTAAATGCCAAATGTTACATCCCTGCCACGTTGAGGCTAAAGGCAGGCTTTTGGGTAAGATATATATTTAATTCTAAGAATTATTTTTTAAAATAATTTGTTTAAACAGGTATGCCAATCTTATGTTCTCGAACGAATATGCCATAATCAATAAATTCGTTTCAATCATGGATAAACTTTTAATCATCGTTGATTCTAAAAAGTGCGAAAAATATCCTGAACTGAATTCGGATGAATCTTGTAATTATACAATATGTATCTATTTTTTTATAACAAGTTTTGATATTTTATTATTTATCCCTTTTTAAATTAAATAAATTTTAAATTATATTTATCCTAGTAATTATGGGCAATATGAATAATGGCCACTAAATTATACTCTTTCTTGTAGTGTTGTTAAATGGCTCGTTTTGAGCCGATTTTTAAAAACGGCTAACTCAATATTTCGTGCAGAATATTACGCAAGCCTCAAGATTTTGCTCATAGAAGGAACAAAGGTCTAGGCATATATTATCGAAATCTCGAGACTTAGGGAAATATTTTTCTGGCTAAAATATTGAATTAGCCGTTTTAAAAAATCGGTTCAAAATGAGCCTTTTAAATACTATAGTTGGTGAAAGGTAATTCATCGATTCGCAAATTAGATTAGTTAAGAACAGCAGAAATTAATCGTTTTGACTTATTGAATTAATTTAAGACAAATAAAGATACACCCCAGGGGCGTCGCTAACTAATTGCTTTGGATGTTTTTATAATCATTAATACCAATTTTGATAAATGAAGTAGTGTCTTATTTTTATAAAATTAGCACTCAAATTTTAAATAATTAGCGCACATTACAAATACATTAGTATTTTATTTAAACACTTTATTATTAAATTATGGTAAATAAATATTGTTTTCCTTGTGGATTAAATCATTTTATTAATAAAATTCCCTTCTTTTCGCCTTATGCAAAAATAAAATAGTTAAAAATCAAAATATATTATAATCATAGGCGTAACCGGTGGGGGGGGGGATCTCGGAAATTTGCCTCCACTCCTCTCTCCCCAAAAGTGTAAATAATATATCACTATAAATAAGTATTTAAAAGAAAAAATTAAGTTAATAACTTTTTAAAATAAACGATTATAATTCAAATAAAAAGTGAAATTCAAAATTATTTTTATAAAAATCTAACATAGCTCAAGACCCACATGAAGTTGCCTAAAGACCCCCAATAAAATTTATAATGAAAACCACCACCTAATACCCCTTACCAAAATTCTGGCTAGGCCTATGATTATATTTTCAAATTCAATATACATTCATTGAGCTCATTTTTGAATATACAAAAATTTGTCCTTATTTTCCAATTAATTTGATGTTCAAATATTAATTATTCCCATTTTAATTCTGACAAAAGATGCAAAATCAAAGGATCTAATTTTTTGATAAATCGAAAAGATAAAAGCTATCAGATTTGGGTTATTTAAGAATATTTTTTATTGATTATTTAGTTAGATTCTATAGATATTATTTTGATTAGCGAATACATGTATATTATATGTAGAGGTTATAAATCTATGATATAAACCAGGCCGATGGCCGGGCATAAGTGGACAAATTTCTACCCCCGCGAAAGGGTGGTTGGGGGTTGAGCAAAGCCACTTTAAGATATATATATAGGGTAAAAAAATTTATATACACTTTTTTAAAAATTAAATGACACCTTTTAACCCTCTCCCCCATTTGTAAAAAATCTAGCGATGCTCCTAACACCAGAAATGTGTTGCTGTTCCATCACTAGGTAAGGATAAATATAACTTTCTTTGTTTATGAAAAAAAAAAAATTATTTATGTTTCTTAATGAATATATTATAATTTATTTTAATATACATAAACTGCTCTCATCCAAGATAGAATCACCTTCTTTAAAGATGATGAGAAGATACCAATCGATTCTAACTATTTATATTCAGGTATTGTAATAATATTAATTTACTTTCGGAATTGATTTCTATAAAGTTTATGTTTTTAAGAATATAATAAATATTTATTTAAAAAAAAATTACAAACATAAAATTATAACTCAAGCGAAAACAACAAAATTTTATTGCGGCAAAATTGTAGCTAAAAGTATATGGGGAGCTCTTAGAGGTTCATTTTTTTAATATCAAAATTCATATTTTCTTTTATACCATTTCTATATATTGTTAAAATTTTATATATTTATTTGCTATATTAATAGCCCCTCCTCCCTCCCCACCCTACTTCTTTTAAATAAAATGGAAATAAATAGCAACACTAATAAGCAGTCCTTTATAGAATGGTCACCTTTATTTAAAAAAAATATAGTAATCCCTAACTATATTTATTGGCCTTCCATAGCGACGAGAATATTAAAATTAAGCACAGACTCTATGAAAAGCGAGAGCGCGCTATTTTAGCAATTAATACGAATGATGTGACGATAAAAAAACAATCAATATAAATCTGTTCTTGTAATCAAAAGAAGAACAGTTAAGTGATATCAGAATAAGCAATTATCTGATGTTCCAAGCACTGAATATCGATTTTAATAATCTCATTATAAAATAGAAATACATTCTATTCCTGATTAACTTAACATCTCAGAGTTTATATAATGTATTCACGCTTTTAGGATTTTAATATTTTTGGGTAAAAGTCTGCAAAATAGGCCGAAAGCCCACTAAACCCAAAACCTAGTTGAAACAAAAATTGTTTTTTTAAAACTTAAATACTTACTACAATATTTCAATTTTTTGGTTCCCTATAATCGCATTATATTGTACATATTAGAGCTAAGTAAGATACTGCCTGAATTGGCCTCGTTAAAAATTTTTCACAGGCTTATGGGCTGGTTCCAGATGTATGTAATATGAGTTACCCGGACCGTTAAAAAATCTTGCGCAAGTTCTAAGCCGACCCATAAAAATTTTTGACAGTTACTTAGGTTTTTAATTTTTTGTTGTTTGCCAAAATAAAAGGTTTGGAAACGTTCAGTCAATTAATCAATTACACCGATTCCAAAACGGTAAAATATAAATTAACTATTTTTTAAAATATTAAGTTTAAAGGGACAAAATGTTTGTATTATAATTCAAACTTTGTATTCACCCCTCAATATTTTTTCTATATTTATTTTAGTACGTTGTTTTGAAGCAATATATCAAAGACAAACCATTGTACAGACATAGAGGGCTTTTAATAGACACTGCCAGGCATTATATTCCTGTTCATATTTTGAAGAATATAATAGTAATGATATTTTTATATCTAGTTATACTTTTCTATAAAAAAGTATAAGTTATCAAAGGAAAGGATTGCAAAGATTAATGTAAGCATATACTAAACAGAGTAGCTCAAAAAAAACGTCTCGTTTTGAAATCTTTATAATTCTAGATCGAACTCCAATTAATTTTTTATTGCGAAATTAATGATCATTTCAAATTTTCTTCAAATTTGTCTAAAGATTTAAAAAAGGTTATAGCCTTTCTTTAATTAGTTATGATAATAAGGAAGATTTACATCAGGTTCGGAATATGAATCCGTATTTCGAAATCGCCTTAAGGCTCCTTGAATTGCGCGAATATTTTTTTTAAAATCTTTTTCCTATAAAATTCAAGAAACAAACTAGGTGCATTCCAATTTTTCTCCTCTTGGCATAATTATACCAGCTTATCATCTTCTTTTGATAACATTTTTAATTTACAAAATTATTGTTTTATAAAATTTGATATAACTTACATATTTTGTTTTATAATTAGGAAATGCTTTGAAAAAGGAATTAAACTTCCAGCTATAGTCCAAAATGGGAACCCATTTAGACCTTATTTGAAGAAATATAAATGAGGGTCTTGAGCTAATTTTTTTAAAATCAAATTTTAGCATTTTTGATCATAATTTTCAAAAAACTGGCTCAATAAAATGTTAAAAAAATTCCTAGGATATTAAGTTTCATACATCATTTTGTAAAATACAAAATCTAATAGAAAAAGAAAAAGGCGATTTAGAATTATAAAGATTTTAAAACGTTACGGTTTTTTAACCAATAATTATTGGGAAGTATTTTTTTTAAAGAAAAATAGGTAAATTATTATTAATACAAAATTTAAATAAACATATTATTAGATTTTTTTATTTTACTTAATAAAACCGTCTAATATTTTCTAATAACGAATATATGGTTTTAGATAAAAAAAGAAATACATTTATAAATTTGATTCTGCTGTTATATTTATTTTTCCCGCATAACACTAATTTTAATCAATATTGGTGTGGAAAAATAATGGCATAATTTAAATATCTAAAACATAGGTAAATAACTTTGCTATGACCATACTAGAACACCCAAGCGCTCAAGCACACATAAGTCAGGATGAAAATTGAAAAATTTAGATATTTTGAGCTTTTATATATTAAATTTCTTTTATGTCTATTTACTCCATTATAATTAATTTAGACCTATAATAATGTTCAAAATTTCCTTATACACTCATTTATAAATTATTACTATTACTATATCACTATTTATTTAGAGTTTATTATATTTTTTTTATAATGCAAACTATAGGCCCTAGTATGGCCTTAGCATAAGAGTATATTTATAGACTGTAGGAAAATAAATGTGACTAAATTATAAAATCAAAAAAAAATGGGGTTTAGAAAGAATAAATAAAAATGCAAATTATTTTTCAAATTTAGGAGGCTATGAGTTACAACAAGCTCAACGTATTTCATTGGCATATAGTTGATGATCAATCATTCCCATACCAGTCTGAAATATTTCCAGAATTATCTAAAAAGGTTTTATTATTATTTATAAATTAAAAATAAATCTTTTCTTTAGACTATGACCTAAATATATTTAAAATAATCTCAAAATTTAAAAAATTTGAAATTTTATAAAATATAATGTCGAAAATCTTGAAAATTTTTTTAAAAAAAGTTTTGCAAATTTTGAAATTTTTATTATTTTTACTTTTCAAATACTTCCTATTTTGATTAATATAACTGTCTGTGAATATAACTGCCCATTTCTTATTATCATTTTAAAAATAAATTAATATTGCTTGCTTTATTTTTCCTAAAAATTTCACAACTTTCTAAACTTTAGGCTAAAATTTACCAATTTTTTTCTCTAACAAATTTTTTAAAGTTTTTTCTTAAAAATTCCAATTTATTGAATATAACATTTTTCAGTTTCACTTTATGTAAAAAAAATAACAATTAAGGGTGCCTATACTCCCCATATGATATACACGAAGGATGATATCAAGGATTTAATTGAATTCGCTCGTCTGAGGGGCATAAGAATTATTCCGGAGTTGGACACTCCTGCTCACACTTATTCATGGGGGAAATCTCACCCAGGTATAATCCATACTTTTTAGAAAATGTTTAGAGGCAATCGAGTAATAGCATCTTTGGAAATAATTTATAGGTTTTAATCTTATGAAAGTTTTAGAATACTTCTTTTTCCCCTCATGTAATATTTATCTAAACTTTGTAATAAATGACGCCATTTGGAGAATTATGATTTGTCAATTTATAAATAAATGTGTTTAATAAAAAGGAATTAAGCAATCTATCCTGTGCAGATGAATCTTAAATCAAATATTTTAAACGTAATTTTCACAATCTAAAAATTATAATTGTTAGATGCTTGTTTGAAAATATATATGGTGAAATCCATATCAAATGAATCCAAAAAGTCGATTCTCAACCCGACCCCCTCAGAATTTTTTTCAAATTTTGTATATATGTAATATATGCTATAGATAAGAAAATAATAAAATTTTTACTTTATTACACCACTTGCTCGCTAAGATTGGTGGTTTAAAGAGCGGAAAAATGTATATTTTTAAGAATAAATTAAGTTAGAGCAACAATTTAGTTATTATATGGCTTAATAATTAATCTTTAATATGACATATAAATGAATGTGATAGAAATCCGATTAATATCCTAAACCGAAAGTAAAACCGAAAGTAAAACCGGAAATGGCCATTAGATTTTATACCATTTCTTGAAACGCTGACAAAATCCGCCAAGTAATTTGTAGATTATTTAGAAAAATAAAATAATTTGATTCCTCATTCTTATAGCTTTACAACATTCCTTGTTATAAAACTCATTAAAATCCAATTTATATGTTGGCGAATTCTTAGTTATTACTAACCCTTAAGATAATTATGCACTAATGCAGGGCCATGCATATGGATTCCATTCCATTAGACCGATAATCAGGCCAATATGATTTATTATTTTATTTTGTTACAGATTGTTTAAGCGCAAATACATTTTATTTATTTATCTTTAAAAATGAGATAAGGGCAGAGTGGCAATTATATGCGACCATATCTGATAAAAGTCTGTGCTACAGTTACAGTTTCGGGAGCGTTACTAAACAGTTAGCAGCTCAAGCAAGCTTGCAACATGCATATGATCATATTGACAACAATGGATTTATATAACTATGCAAGAAATAATATCAGAGAGATAAATTATACATTTGTGAGCTATATCTAAGTATGAAAAATCATTTTAAAAATAGGTTTTTGGCAGCAAAACAAATTTCTGAAACACAAAATTTTTATACTTTTATTCACCTAGAAGAAAATAAAATGAAAGTCAAAATTTATTCAAATTCTTCGGGTGATTTCATATATATTTTAAAATTTTTATATATTATTATAAAATAATATATTTTATTTTTTTTCACAATTTCGTTTATGAAATCTATTAAAATATTTAAAAAAAATAATGTGTACAATATTCATAATTTTTTTTTATAATTTTGAAATGAATAAAAATGTTTTTATAATTAATTAATAGGGAAGAAAATAAATCATAAAAAGTTATGATATAAAACCGAATATAACTATTGTTGTGTTTTTTTTTACAATATAAGTTATTTTTGTTTAGAGAAATTTGTATTATTGTACAAAAAAAGAAATATAGTACATACTCGGAAAAAATATATATATATATATTAAAACATAAACGTTTAATTATAACGAAAAAATATTTTTTTGTGGTTAAAATCTAAATATAGTTGCGATGCAAAATATATATAAAATTAACAAAAAAGTTTTTAATATAAAACAAATGACTATATTTGATAAACTAGGAGGGAAATGGGAGTGTTTCGAAGAAACATTTGTAGTTCCCCTTTAGGATTTCAAATTGGACTTTTTGTTTAAGAGATAGGGACTCGTTTTTAACCCCTGTCCTTAACGAAATTCTTCTACCCAATTGATTTAAGAACCTTAGGGATTGGGGACCGGGGTTTCCAAGGACGCTAAAAATTAGGGGAATAAATATAAAAGAGTTAGGGAGGAATCTATATTTATTAATCTTATTGGTTTCTTGTAGTTCCAAGGGGTCGGTATTTCCGTTAGCCGGAAAGGAGGTAACACAAGAGACGTCCCAGACAAGTCTTTTGCCGCCGTGCCAAGACGTTAAAGACATGCCGTCAGGGCGCTTACCGTCAGCATTTAGGAGACCCAATGGCTCCAAGCTATTGGAGAAACCGGCCGAAATCAAGGCTTTGCCGATTAACCTATTAAGGTTGTCGTGCCTCAGGAAACGGCCACTGACTTTGAGGCACGAGAAACAATGTCTAGAGAAAGGATCAACCTGTTTGTGACAGGCAGCACAGGTGTCCACAGAAGGGATAAGGCAACCAAGCCTATGGCCAATTGCAGTTTGAAACTCATCGTCTGTGAGTAACGTTTCCTTTTTACCACTCGGAATCGCGTCTAGCCATTCATGGCAGAGTTTTTTTTTGCGTTTCTGAGCAGTTGAAGGTTAGTTAGCTCAGGATACATACAAAGTTTTTCAAACGAGCATTGAAGCATAGGGACCAGGAAGCTCTTTAGATGACAGGAAATTGGCTGCTCGGAGCCTTGGGTGATTAGAGTAAGCCACTCTTGTTTAGCTGAAGATAGAAGGGGATCGTCCAACTCGATAAGCGAGGAAATAGAATCGGCGAAGGATATTCGAGATGAAAGAAAACACGCAATTGCCATAAGGAAGGGGGGTGACAATCCCAGTCCCCCCCGGTAAGCGGGCATAGAGGCGAGGGACCAATTGAAATCGGAAAAATTTAAGCCTAAAAGGGATTCGATAAAATGTTTAAATTTTAATTCGAAGACCTTAAGGAGAGTATTGTACTGGAAAACGGTGGAAGATTTAAATAAATGTAAGAATTTAGGTAGAAAAAGACATTTTTTGGTGAGAAAGAAGAACTGATGCTTGGGGAGATGAGGAAGATTCTTGAGTGAATTGGAAAGGGACTGGATCAAATCGTCAAAAGTTTTTTGACAAAAGGAGGTTGAAAAACCGATAGGGGAACCTAAAAGACAGAGTTCCTCGTGCGGAATGATTGTAAAATCTAAGGGAGGAATAAAATCCTTATTGTTGAGGGAGGAAATTTCACACTTTTTCCTATTTAGGGAAAGACCAATTTTCGAGGCTTCCATTTCAACGTACTCTATGGCCGACATAACATTGGATAAAGAACCGCCAAAAGAGCCATCGTCGAGATACCATAATTATATTAAATCTAAATTATAGAAATTATTCAAATAAAGTTATAAATATGTTTAGAATATTTTGTCACGTAATTTCCATAGAATAATAAAGTTATGACCTTTCATTTAGACATAATTTTTAATAAAAATTATTACGTAAATAGTCATTAAATTTAATAAATCTATGTTAAATGTGATCAATTTTAGTCATAAAAAAGGCATAACTCCTAGTCCCACAATCATATCAGTCTAGGATTTTGTAAATACAAAGCAATCTGGTATACATCTAGAGAAATAAAATTTTAAAAACAAAAGCTGGCTGGGTCCGGGTTTAAATTTTTAGATAATTTATCATACAATTTTGTAAAATAAATTGATATATTCTAAATATTTTGCAAAAAAACAAGGCGCCAATATTTTTTTATTTTTTTCAATTAAAAAATTTTAAATTTGGGACGGGCCGTGCGGACAAGTTATTTTTATTTCTAGCGGAGTTATTTGGGACAGATAAATAAAAACTTCCTTCTATTTTTGAAAGAATTTCTGGTCAGATATTGAAAACTTAGGTCCGATACAGATCCCTAATATTTAGTAGTTTTTAAGTAATGAGTAATACGCTACTTTTTTTTATTACCACGTCAAGTTTTTCACAAGGAAATGAATGACGTAAAAAAGGTAACGCATTAGTTTTTTCAAGTAACGTTAACGGCTCTATATTTTAATCAAATCGATATGCTAACAGAATCCGTTTTATTTAAAAAATCTGTTCGTTAGGTCTATAGGTTAAGGTCATCTATATTTAAAAAAAAGGATTTATCAAAATTACAAATAGAATAAAAATCATTTATGAAAAACAGAAATTTTGACGCCATGTTATGGGGATGGCCATACTCCTGAAACTGCAAATTATCCTTTTCACGCGAGCAGAGAAAATTTAAATCCATTAAATCCTGCCACTTTTAATTTAACTCGACGCTTGCTCAAAGAGATTTCTCAACTTTTTCCTGATAAATTTTTTCACGCAGGAATGGACGAAGTTTTTCCTGATTGTTGGTATATATACATCAGAATCTTTCATTTAAAATTATAAAAATTTTATCTCTAATTAAATAAACTAAGGCTCATTTTTTAAAAAAATAATATAATTTCCATTAGGGACTCTAATCTAATCATGAAAAATGTTTCGGGTAAAAGTCAACCAGCCAAATGGGCTTTCAGACAGTACACCAAGAAAATACTGCCTTTTATACAAAATACCTTGAAGAGGCATGTCGTGGTTTGGCAGGATATGTTAGAAATGGAAATACAAGTTTCGATTATTCTAATTGAATGTTAAATTTGTCTTTGAAAAAGTATATATGTAGATTATCTACATAATATTGATCTTATAGTCATTTCTCTATAAATGATTTATCAATTAAAATGACTATAATTAGATTGGCTGATTATTTTTCAAAAAGTCGCTACTGAAAAAAAGTTTTGCAAAATTGATTTTTAGCGTTTTATGCTTATACAAGAACCGAAAATTAGAACCCATATTATTCCAAGATCCTGAACTGTTTCTAATCATAGTGCTAATATTTGCAGGTTTATTGTTAAAAAATTTTGTGTGATTTATTTTAGAGGATTTATTTTCTGTTTAAATATTTTTAACTTTTTTAGAATTATTTTAACAGAGTTTGAAACCGGAAACCAAAAAAAGGAAAGAAAGACCTCGGAACCGTCAAATTTAAGAACCGGAAATGTTTTCTTCAAATTAAATTTAAAAACTATACTTAGTATTATTAACGAGTGGAAAAAAAAGATAACAGAAATAATAAGATCGAAATCTGTAATTTAAAAAAAAAGAAACTACTAAAATAATTAAATTTCAAAATATTTAAGAAATTATTGTGAAAGACGCCATCTTTTAAATTCAAAATATTCATAAAATGAGAATTTCTATTCCCAATTTCAATGAAGTAAAATATTTAAAAAAAACAAGAATATATCGAAAGATTTGACATATGAGATATGGAAAAACTTTGGTTCATTCATGGAAAATGGGACCCAAGAATGTGCTAAAAAGAATTACAAGATGATAATTTCGGGGTATTGGTACCTTGACACACCTCAAAATGGCGAGGAGTGGAAGAAAATGTATGATATCAATATAGATGATTACTTAGGTATATAGATATTTATATTTATATATATCTTCCTCAATTCAGATTATAAGGGCAAAATTTAATTTTTTAATAATTAACCACTGATTTTTATAGCCTTAGGTAAAATATATATTTATGTACATTACATAAGTAACGCCTTTTAACAAAATATTTTACAGAACAATAATTTGATAATTTGAGATAAAAATTTTAAAATGTTAAAAGTCTTATATATTTTTTTTTACTATTATATTAAAATGGTTAATTTGTACAAAGTTCTTCATCCAAACTTAATTTTTTTTTTGAAGATACAATAATAATTATTAATTATTGATATTTATAGTTTTCAATTCTTTTGTAAACAAAAAAAATATATTCAAAGATTATGGGTTAAATTCCAATCTCTATCTTTTATAATAGATAACGATATGTATCGCCATAAGATACCAAATCTTTTGTTAGGAGGTGAAGCTTGTATGTGGACCGAATATGTTGATGTCAATGCAATCATGGATATTTTATGGTTCTTGGAATTATATAATTTTTTTACAATTCATTTGCCCTAAAGTTATTTATTGGAAAACTCCTTTTATATAAAGTATAATCGTCTCTAGCAAACATAAAATCTCTTTGATTACTTAGTATTGTTAAGCGACTCGATTTGAGCCTATTTTCAGAAACGGTCAAACAAAATTTTATCCAGAAAATTATTACTCAAGGCTTAAGATTTTGCTCATAGATGACGGAAAGGTTTAGACATCTAATAACCAAATCTCGCTTTTTTAATATCGGTCAAATCGAGCTTTTTAACAACATTAGTTTAGTAGTATTTTGGTTAACTTTAAAAAAAAAATCGGTCAAAATATTAAATTATTTTTAAAATATGTTTAACAAATTTAATTTAAAAAAATATAAATTCATTAGATTTTTTTTATTCAGGCCAAGAACATCTGCTATTGCCGAAAAATTGTGGAGTCCTAAAAATTTAAATCAAGCTATAGATCTAGTCGAAGATAGATTAGAGGAACATAGGTGCCTAATGATAAGGTTTATTTACTTATTAATATCTTTTTAAGTTGTTATGTTAAAATTAAATATATTGCAATAAAAACAGTAATCATATGGATTAATTAAATATGATCAATTTAATGATTCAAAATAATTAGCACGTGAATAAGGGATATCTTTAAAAGGGAAATCCATATTTTAGATGACGAATAGAGAACTTCAATAATATATTGAAAAAAATCACAAAATTAGGTGGAAATTAGTTGATGACCCTTTCTAATTATGCTAATTTTGAATGTTAATGAATTCTTTGGAATTATACACAAAATGCAATGATAGAATTTTTTTTATAAATATATTTTATAGACGTGGTATCGTTGTTAAACCAATCAAACCTGGATTTTGTGGGGATTACGAAGATCTGACCTCTAATAAAGTAGATGAAGTACCTCAATGGATCATCAAAAGAGTAGGATAAAGCTATAGGAAAATAACTGATGTTTCGTGCGAATTTCCATAAAATGACAAAAATATTCATTTTACATATTTATATATTTAATATATAGTATTGTACTATGAATGTAAATATTTTTTATGGTAAATATTTTGGAATTTTTAATGTTTTAAATGAGTGTTGTTTATCAATTTGTTAAAAAAAAAACAATTGCAATTGAAGATAAATTGATAAAACTGTACTTTAATGATAAATATGTTTTTATATACTACAATGGAATAATTAAAACTTTATTTAACATTATCCAAAGTTGATTGTAAAAAGAATTTATATCAAGCGATCAAAAAAGGAGTATAATATAATAAAATTATAAAACAAATCTGATGAAAAGTTATAGTCTAGACCCCAGGGACATGCCCATCAAATTATCCTAACAAAGATAGGTAAAATATTTTATCATGGTCACGATTGCGCCGTAGCACTTCTTCTGTAATTTATTTTAAAGGATCTCCCAGTTTACCTCTTTCAGTCATTCTATACTATTTAAAATGCTACGAACCCAGAATCAGAGCCTATTAAAATTATAAAGAAGATAACAATGTCCGATTATTAGACAACATAATTGTGAACTTTTAAACTACCTTCAAAAATTTTCAAGACAATTTCATCACAAAAATTTATGGTGAAATTATCTAACATTTATCTTTCATAATTAAAAAAGGCGCTCTAGAAATAATTTTTATTATTAAAATGCGTGAAATTCGGGTCTTTGTATCATCTTCTAAGCCAATATAACATATCTATATTATATAAACGAATGTGTTGTCCTAGATTTATTAATTATTTTTAGTTCCCTTTCCAAATTTTGAGGAAGGGATGAACTCCCCACCCTCACCCCCCACCCCTCCTTCAAAAAATTTTAAAAAAAAATTTAATATTACATTTGAATCCCTTTTCTCTTTATTATATGTTAGAAAATTAAAAAATTTATAAAGACAATGAATATAAGTTTTTCTCCTTTTCATATTTTTTTAGCAAAGAAAAAAGAGAAGAAAAATTTTATCTTTCAACTTTTATATTTTTATTATTTACATTTTCATTTCATATTTTGTTATCAACTAAAATAAATTAGATTTTTATCAATTTTTATGGGTATTTAAAAAAAATCAGTTAAAAGAATAAAAGGCAAAAATAATTTAAAATATTAATCATGTTAAATATTACAACTAAAATGAAGCAACTGGCTGGGGAATGCAATAATAACGGATAGTTATTATTGTTGTTAAAAGCCCGATTCGGGTCGACATTTAAAATCGGCCTGATTAAAAAATAATATTGTGTAAGGCTGGTGATTTTGCTCATAGATGGCAGAAAGGTTTGGGCTTCGACTTGCCAAATCTTGAGGCTTACACAATATTATTTTGAAATCGGGCCGTTTTTAAAATTCGATTCAAAGCGGGATTTTTAATAACACTAACAGTGATGAGAAGTGTGTAAAATATATTTTAGTAGGCCAACTCTACAGGGAGGGGAGAGGTTGTTAGCGACACATTGAATATATGAGAATGAGTAAGATATCAAAGCTTTTAGTAAATTGAAAATTTCTTTAAACTTCTTAAACATGCCAATAATAAATATTTGTTCCAAATTAATTATAGTCACAACCAACTTTATATATAAACATAGTTATTAAGGCATTTCATGCCCTTTCTCTCATACTTCATGGTAATGAAATCATAACAATATTCAAATTCTAAAATCTATATCGAGCCTCATAAGTAATATTGACTTTTGAACAGAGAAAGGGAAGGGATCCAACACACCTACCAAATAAATCAAGAAAATTTAATTTCCAATATCGTTATAAAACCTTATAAGTAAAGTTAAGGCCAACATAAATTGCCCTAAAATCTTATCAGAACCTACTAAATTTTCCCACAAATGTCTCATGCGCTTTGAAAAAGAAATTTAATTATATTAAAAAATCAATTCACAAATTGAAATTTTGACTCAATTCAAATTGAAAATTTTGACTAAATCCAATAACTATATTTTTTATAACAATAAACAGTAGATGGTCTCATAAAGAAAAAATAGTATCAAATAGATCAATGGGATATTGGAGGGCACTTATAATAACATCTTCTTGTGTCAATTACCCTAGAAACATTACAATTTATTTAAAAACTACACCTGGATGCTACCAGATCAAATCACTCATTCTCCCAGCCTATCAAATTTAATTTATCACCAGCGATAAAATCCTCAATGCTACCTTCCTTCAATAAAAAGTTAGCAGGCGGCATCGATGGCCTCAGGCCATCTTATTTCCAATGCCATTCAAAATTTCACTCAAAGTTCTTTCATCAAAATTTTAACAACTTTATGCAACATCATAAACAAAGATATTCCAATTCAAATTACCAAATCCTCTTTAGGGCCATGGAGGTATTCTTCCCATTGATGCGGACTCATTTTCCTGGTGAACAATCTACAAGATAGTCATCGAATGCATCAAATACAATTTCATCAATATCCAAAACTCCTGCCAGCTTGGTTATAAGATATGGTGGGGGGAGGGGTGTGGTTTGTAAAATAACTACAACTTAAGAATTTATATTAAAAACCCACCCTTTAACATAGTAATAGGCTAACTTGATTTCAAAAACACTTTTAATAATTTATACTTCTACTATTAAAATTTAATTAAAAAATATTTTTCCAGCCTGCATAAGTTCTTATCCTTGAGCAAAAAGTTTAATTTCCCAGCACAGCTCTAAGATTATTGTTATTAAACACCACTCGATTTGGGTTGATTTTAAAAAAGACACGATTACGATTTTAGACAAAGTAATATTATGTAAGTCTGATTTGCTCATATATTTCAGAATGGGTTAGATCTCTATTTGCCTGGCTGAAATCTTACAGGCCGTTAACAACACTAATACGATGTCTATTATACAAAAGATCTTTTTTAAGATTTTTGAGCGAGATCTCGCTCAAAAATTTGAGCAAGATCTTTGAAGATCTGAAAATTTGAAGATCTTCTACTTTTAAAAAATTTTGAGCAACGACCATCAAAGATCGAGATCTTTGAAGATCGTAAAATTTGAAGATCTTTTATTTTTTAAATCAAAGATCGATCTTTTATTTAAAAATATTTTAGATCAACGAACTTCAAAGATCTTCATATTTTATAATGTTATAGTAAATTATTATTTTTTTGATATTATTTTTTGAAGTAAATGGGTTAGTAAGTAAGCATGTTAAATTAAAAATTCAATAAAGATGTACCGACAATTTTCATAATCGTTATTTTTTTAAAACTTTTTTTGACATATATGGGTAAAAAAAAATTTATATTAAAAAAAATTTATATTAAAAAAAATTTATATTAAAAAAAAATTTATATTAAAATTTCAATGAAGATGTAATGTAAGTAACACAAAAAGTGGCAATTGTAATAATCCTTATTTTTAACTTATTGATTTTATGTATCGTAAATAGGTTATAATTATTATTTTTAAGATGTAAAAATAAAATTTCAATGAAGATATACCATAGAAAAGTGAAAATTGTTATAATCGTTATTTTTGAAAATATTTTTAAAGCATAGATATTGTTAACATGTTAAATTAAAATTTCAGTGAAGATGCACAGAAAAGTGACAATTGTCATAATCGTTATTTTTGAACTTTTTTAAGGCAAATGGGTAAAAATTGATATTGTTAACATGTTAAATTGTAGTGAAGGATCAAAAAGTATGGGTTAAATTTTAAAGGAGAAATATTTCGCTGTTAATATTGAACTATTTGCTAGGTTTACAATAAATATTCATAATTAAAACTGCCTTTCGCGACTCGAATTGATAAAGTAAAATAAAAAAAATATAAAATATTTTCAGAATAAAAACAACTAAATCTATTCAATTGAATAAGTTAGGTTAGGTTTATTATTTCGTCAAAACCAAGAATTTGACAATCCATAAATATATTTTAAAAATCTGGGCTCGTAATATAAATTTGAGCTATGCCTTATAGCTAGCAAAGGCTTGCTGTTTAATGTCGTTGTACATTGTAAAAGCACGATTTTACTTAAATAACGCTCAAATTATAGAAGTTAGAAGGCACCACTTTTTAATATTTTATAATCTAAAGCCATCAAAGATTTAAGAAACATGATGAGCCAATATTTTTTATTAAAAAATAATTAGATTGGGAACGGTTATTTTTTAAAATTAAATGGGATAGGAACTATCTAACAACAAACCTGGTTAACAATATATTTTTTTAATAATTTTGAAATAATAAATAATTTTCAAAATATCTTTATTTTATCATTGTTTAATAAAAAAACAAAAGTTTAAAAATATTACATATGACAATAGTCAGTTTTCTATGTGTTATATATAAAAAAAAATCAAAAAAGTTCAAAAATAACGATTATGGCAATTGTCACTTTCCTGTGGTACATCTTCACTGAAATTTTAATTTAACATATTAACAATATCTATTTTTACCCATTTGCTTTAAAAAAATTCAAAAAAGTTCAATAATAACGATTATGACAATTGTCACTTTCCAGTAGTATATCTTCTCTTAAATTTTAATTTAACATGTTAACACTATCAATTTTTACCCATTTGCCTTAAAAAAGTTCAAAATTAATGATTATGACAATTGTCACTTTACTGTGCATCTTCACTGAAATTTTAATTTAACATGTTAACAATACCTATTTTTATCCATTTGCTTTAAAAAAATTCAAAAAGGTTAACAAATAACGATTATGACAATTGTCACATTCCTGTGGTACATTTTCACTGAAATTTTAATTTAACATATTAACAATATCTATTTTTTACCCATTTGCTTTAAAAAATTTTAAAAAAGTTCAATAATTACGATTATGACAATTGTCATTTTCCTGTGGTACATTACATCTTCACTTAAATTTTAATTTAACATATTGACAATATCTATTTTTACCCATTTGCTTTAAAAAAATTTAAAGTATAAAAATAACGATTATGACAATTGTCACTTTCCTGTGGTACTTCTTCACTTAAATTTTAACTTAACATGTTAACTGCTTTAAAAAAATTCAAAAAAGTTCAATAATAACGATTATGACAACCAGTAATATATCTTCTCTTAAATTTTAATTTAACATGTTAACAATATCAATTTTTACCCATTTGCCTTAAAAAAATTCAAAAAAGTTCAAAAATAACGATTATGACA